CTCTTTATCTTGTATCAGTTAGTCATGTTTCTTCAGAGATGGTTTCTTTTCTCTTGTCCAATATCCCATCTCTTGAAAGTCTGACAATAGCAAAATGCAATGGATTGCAATCTATACAACTTGAGAGTAATTCAGAGCTTCAAAAATTAACTGTCTTAGATTGCTTGCAATTGGAGTCTACCAGGATGCATTTCAATTTACAGTTCAGTTTAAATTCCTTCCAATGTCGAGGAAGAGTCGTGTCTTTAGAATATCAGAATGATTGCAATGAAGATCCACTCTACTCCCCGTACCCTCCTGCAAATTATTATTCACCTTTGAACCTGGAAGATGCCATGCTTGATTTTAGACAAGGCCCTGGCTACTATGGCATCAATGTACGTGGCTTTAAATTCATCCTTCAAAGCATAAGTGGGGTCAAAACTCTGACATTATGTAGATGGTTTTTGAGGTATGTTCTAGTGGTATAATTTTTTTTTCCAGAATCCTGTAATCCTTTCCAGAACCTTGATCAAAATTGCTGCACCAAGGTTTAACTAGTCCTCTGTTTTTTTGTTACTCAGGAATTGATCTTACCAGAGCGATATCTTTTAGGTCAAGGCCTCTGCAATCTAACTGATTTGTGGTGGATTGATGATTCACGGGAGAGATACAATAGTAATGCCTTAATCTCCTTTCTCAAACTCTGTCCACCGTTAACTAGGCTCTATATCACTGTAAGTTTTTGCAAATTTAATGATACAATTAGCAGTTAAATATTAGAATGAATATCACTTATATATGTTAGCAAAGTTTGTTTCTGACCTTCTAGATAATGTTACCAAGTGAAATTTCTTCACTTTTCATATATTGGCTATGGAATTCCAAGCTAAAACTTGAATCGCCGCACTATAGCAAATTGTGATGTGATGATGGAACTCATAACAGAAATATTGCACCAAAATATTACTTATCTTGTAGTATTAGTTTCTGATACTCCTTACAAAATCTTCATGACTTGCTGATTAATGATGCAGATCGATCCTAAGAGCTATAACATGGGAAAGATAAAGATGTCTTCTATCATGGTCCGGAGGTCTACGAAATTGGAGCATCTCATGGCTGTCATGGTTGAAGGATTTGAAAATGAGGAAGAGGAGTGTCATCTGGCAAAGCAATTGAAAAAGGTATTGGAAGCAGAACCACTGATTATAAAGTGGGATGGAACTGTGAGGCGCTTAATAAAAGTACATGAGCAGCTAAGGAAAGGGAGAGATCCATATGAATTGATTGAAAAAAGAGTTGAAAATCATTATGAATTATGTCCTAAACATCCTCACATGGACCACTAAAGGATAGAAGTTTTCACTTGTTATACCTATAAATCATTACCAAAACAGAAGAAAGAAACCATAATCTCTATCTTGTATCTTGGAGTATTGAAAGGATTTTTGTTATTGTACCTTTGGTTCTTGGATGGGAAGTGCTTGCATTGTTTTGGTAAGTTATCTTTATTTTCTTAAAGCAATGATTGTGAGTTCAAATTTTTCATCTCCTTCATTGCAATTGATTGCAGGCTAAAGGTTCAAATTCTACTCAAATTAATGAAACTGTGAATTTACTTGGATTTAACTATATGTCCCATTTTGCTAGATATTAAGTAGCTTAAGTTAGAGATATGAAGGGAGGGATATAGAGCTGTTATTTAAAGAAATACAGTATCAATGCTTGTTACCATATACTGTCCATTTCATTAGCAGAGGATGTTCCAAGAGTCATAATCAAATTAGTTCTTGATCCATTTTCGAGCTTTCATCTCAGGGAAAAATGCTGTTTCATTTCAGTCAAGGCAGCATTCTGGCTACCATTTGAGATGAGGAGGAGCTTAATCTGAATTTTCTGTAATGGAGGACAAGAAACTTCTGGGGTTTTCACCTCAGCTAGAGCTCAATCTGCAAACTCCAATTAAAACTTCCCTTCTAGGCCAAATGGGTACCTGGGTTTTTGCCTTTGGATTTGGATATCCGGGTTGGAATCTGGCCAGTTGGGTCTTACTTTTCCTGTTTTCTTCTTGATGTTTACTGTTGTGTTCTTCTCTCTTTCGCACCAAAAACAAATAGCATCAGAAACAGACAAAAAAGGGTCTTTAAAAAATTTATGAGTCTGATCAACTTAGCTTGTGAATATTGGTAATTAATTAAAAAAGAAGCTCTAAAAGCTTTTAATGTCTATCCTGCTGCAGTAATCCTTTTCCCTGCTTGTTTTCCTAAATTCAAAAATCATGAACTGATGTGACTTGGCACTTACTTTGAACCGTGTCCTAGTATATGAAAATTAGCTGTCCATGTGTGAACAAAATTGAAAAAGATATGGTTCAATTCACATATAGTATCATTGAGTGTGAAAGAGGATTTTGGTTTGACTTTGAATCAAGTTCAAGAGGGCCCTTTTTGGGTTTCTAGATTGGTGGCAAGATTATTTTTCATTTTCTAAAGTAATGATTATAAGTTCATAGGTTTTAATGAAATGGGTTTGATTCCTACTGGGTTTAGGACAAATGTCCCATCTCTTGATACTTATAAATAATTCTTTTAAGGGTAATCTGCAATTCCTTTGACTTCCTATATGAAAAAGACAGGCAGATAAGAAAACAGAGTGATCCAACAAGTTAAGAAATTACTTTGTGCATACATCATCTTTGGTTGATTCTTATTTGAAAAAGAGAGAGAGAAAAATGGAGTGCCATAAATAGGAGAAAAGTGGCCGGCATGGGGCATGTACCATCAAAAGACATGCCCATATTGCTTACTTTAAGACATTATTCATTACTCAATTCATCAGTACATTTATTCTTCTCTATTTCCTATTCTTCCTTTTGGATTTGGGGTATAGGCCAGAGGTGATTCATAGTTTCAATCATCCAAAACTTGGTTGTCACATTCCAACCTTGATGGCATTTTCTTGGCTTAAATTTTCTTGGTTGTCAAAAGGGCTGAAAGTTCTTCACAGTTTCCAATTCAATAATTATAGAACCTTGGTCAGTCCAATATAATATGAGAGTCTATGGCAATAAAAGAAACATACTTTAACAACCACCAACATTTTCTTTTGAGTTTAATTGATCATGGGAAATAAACTTAGGAAGAAGAAAAAGAAGAAGAACAGAAACAAGAAGCAGAACCAACCCAAGGAGATCAACGAAATTTTAAATCAAATAGAGTAAGGAGCTATTGATTCTACTTTTTCCCTAGTTTCATTATTTGATGCTAAGATCATGATGGTATGAATTTTCTTTTCTCTGGACAGAAATCTTGTTTTAGAGGAAAAGAATGATGATTTCATTAGCAGATTAAGAGATGATTTCCTGTGCCAAATCCTTTCTTTAGTTCCTTTCAGATGTGCAGTACAGACTAGCCTGCTGTCAACTCGTTGGAGATATGTGTGGAGGAAAGCAATAGAACTTCAAGGAACAATAGAGGATGTTCCAAGAGTGATCACGTCGCTTCTTGATCCATTTGACAAGCTTTCATGTCATCGAAGAATCTGGTTTCATTTCAGACAAGGCAGTATTCTAGCTACCATCAAAGATAAGGTGGAACTTCATCTGAATTTCTGCGCTGGAGGACAGGAACTTTCTGCCATTTTGACTGGAGTCTAGAGCTCAATCCGCAAATCCCAATTTCTGAACTGTCTTCATGCATAAAAGTCCTTCATCTAAAGTCTGTGAACAAGCTGACTAGGGAAACAGTTTCATCTGTTGTTTCAAAGTTCCAGTTTCTTGAAAGCTTGCAGATTTCTGAATGCAAAGGATTACAATCACTTTATATTGAAGCCGGTTCAACACTTCGAAGCTTGGTTATTTTGGACTGTTTACAACTGAATGAAGTATATGTTTTTGCATATAACCTCAAGGAATTGGTGTTTCAGGGACAACTTCCTTGGTTTTGGCTCAAATATTCTCCTCAGTTGGAGTATGTCATTCTTGATTTCAGATATGGTCCTGGCTACAATCCCTTTGCTTGTGAAAATCTTTTGTCCCTTCTGTTGGCTGTCAAAAATGTGAAGACTCTTACAATATCTGGCTGGGTTTTTAAGGTATTGATTACTTGCTTCAATTTCTTAATAACAACTCTGAGATTGTACTGACTTTTGTATGTGTTGATCCTTCAAATTTCTTATTCCAGGTACCAATTTCAAAGTGGCTATCTTCAGCTGGAGCCATCTGGGAGCGAAAAGACTTTCTCTTCAACAACTTAAAGGAGTTATGTTGGATTGACAGCTCAATGGAAAATCACAGCATAGCTACCTTGGTTTCTATTCTAAAGATCTGCCCTTCTCTGGAGAAGCTAGTCATAAATGTAAGATTCTTATCAGTCCAATTTCTTGAAAGCATTTGAGTTTCTGCAATTTCCATAAGGTAACTGTTGTTTTGTGCAACTCTTGTGATTTTCAGGTGGATCCTGCTAATTACTGCAGTCCAAGCAAGGGAGAATGTAGTTTCTGGAAGGAGTACTCGAATCGAGTTGCCAATACTGCAACTCTGGATCATCTCAATGTGGTTAAACTGAAGGGTTCCTTAGGTCAGGAAGATGAAATTTTATTGGCAGGACGGCTGGTTGAGGTAGCTTCAGTGGAGCTGATACAAGTAAAGTGAAACCATATGAGAGTGAACCAAATGAATACTGCTCAACTGGTGGTGACAGCCAAAGACTCCTCAGTCAGGCACCGAAATGATTGAGGTGCCACCAGCAGAAGGCTGCAGGGTGATCATGGCTTATCAGTTGGACAACCTTTATGAATTATGGCTTCCTCTAGAGGATAATTGCAGCTTGTGGAGATGAATAGTTCCGAATTACTTTACTCCAATTCCAAGCTTGATGCAACAGAAAAATTGGGTGTAGAAACAAATTCTTCAAATTGTGCAGCACCATAGAATAGCTTTCACATTCCTCATTTTAAGCTTTGTCTAGTTATTAATTCATATTACATTCCAGTAAAAATTATAGCAATTTTCTTAACATTTCAATCTAAGCCAGTTCTTCAAGATGAGTTCCTTCTTCCTTTGGCACCTTGGAAGCAGAGTTGCACCTCATTAATCTTGGTTATTATTTATTATCTTCAACCTTTGATGCATTCAAGGAGGAAACAGAGGAAAGCAAGACAGAACCAAACCATAATTTATTTGCAGAAAGAAATTGCAAGAAGGCTGTGTTGACTTTTAATTTTTCATATGGCATCTTATGGTTTTTTGTCCCTTAATTAGCACTGTATGATGTTCCCCTCTCTTACTTTTCCCTCTTCCTCCTTTTGCTTTAGGCCTGGTTGTGGTCTTTTGCCTATTTTTTTACTGTAAAATTTTTTTTGCTGTCAAAATCTCTTGTACAGGACTTAGTTTTTACTGATTAATTTTTGTATGTCAGTTCCAGAGAAGGATCCTGGTCTGATTTTACCAGGTTCCCTCTCCTTTTGTGTAAATAGGTTTCCCCTTTTGATATAAATACACCACATATTTAATCTTCAAAAAAAAAATTAGCATTGTATGAATATCTGTTTTCTTAATTAACACTAGGTGGATAATTTATATTCTTACAGAGAGTTGAGTTAGCCGGTTGATTTTATAATAAAATGATCAATACCGTCAATTCAAAATTAATCTATTTGTTCACATTTAAGAATAATTTTATAATTTTATTAAGTAAAATTAATTGTCTAATTTTTTATAGGAATAGAAGTTATTCACAAGTGTAATTGAGAAAAAAGAAATCATAACATTTTATCCGTCAGTGCATTTATTAAATTATAGTCTACATAAAAATAAATAAATAAATAAATAAAATATCAGTTCAACTTTTTATAATTGTAATTATAATCCTTGGGTTATTAATGAAGAAAGAATAAAAAGGAGGACTTTTTGGCTAATAAAGTAGTTATATTTTTTAAAACATCTGTTTAATACTTATAGACAAACAGGTAAGGCATTTGGCAGAAACTAACCCTAAAGAAGAGAAAGTCAGAAAAAGGGAAAATCTATTCAAGAAAAAAAAGGTTAAGGTATGATTAACTCATGAAAATTTTTATTTTTGCATATTTTGAAATAAAAACCTTCAATCGTTGTACTCATTCCTTTAATCTTTATCATTTTTATAGATTTCGATATTTTTACATTTTTTTGGGAAATTAGACTTATTTGGTGAGAGCTTGGATTAAGTCAGCAATAAGTCTTAATGTAAGCATTTAGTTTTAATTTGTAAAGAGATGTTAGTTAGTTGATCATTTTGTATCTTTCAAAAAATTATATTATTTTTATATTTGCAGACTTGAGATATTACATTTGATTCATTATGAAATTGTTGGCATACATGGATTCGTTTTTGTAAGTATGCAATGTCTGTTGTGTTCGAACGTGACATTAATAACGGAGCAAAAATTGCCAAGTTTTTTTAAATTACCTTTAACATGATCAAATTAATTTTAACCCTTGTTATTTGAACAGTAAATGACCTTTGACATGGTTAAATCAATTCCAACTCTTGTTATTTGAACAGGAATTTGGGTCTACTTAGTGGTTCTTTCAACAGTTTATCTAATGGCATCCTGGGCCACAATATTCCGTTTCTCCTTCGTCAGGAAGAGGAGGCTAAGTACTAATTAAGGATCATGGTCTTATTTTCTCTTGAGATTTAATACATGATATGATCATACAATAATTTTTATAATTCAGTCTCAACAGGAACTTGGATCCTAATGATTTCATCAGTCGTTTACCTGATGACATCCTTTGCCAGTCTGCAGTTCAAACCACTTTCCTTTCTACCCGATGGAAAGGCATCTGGAAAAAGGCTCTGATGGATTTGGTGCAAGATTCAACCTTAGAAGATGCTGTGATTAGTGTATCAAACTTTTTGGACCTTTTTCCTGAACTCCATCGACCAAGGAATAACTGGGGGTTCCAATTTGACTTTGGCCAAGGTAGAGTCCTCTCAGTTGCCATTGCACCTAATAATACGCTTCACCTTGATTTCTCTGCAGGAGAAGAGGAATTTCCATGGCCAATTGATTGGTTCTCAGGGCTATATCTTCCACAGCCTACACACCAGCCATCTTCCTATACCTTAGAAATAAAGGCTCTTGATCTCATATCACTATGCCACCTTTCTAGCAAGGCAGTTTCGTCTATGGTGTCAAATTTCCCATTTCTCAAAAGCTTGACCATTGCAAAATGCAATGGTTTGTAATCGTTAGATGTACAAGGTGTTAGAAGGCTTCAAAAATTAACCGTCTTTGATTGTCTGCAACTGGAATCTCTTTATTGTGAAGGTCCTGATTTACGCTCTGTTCAATTTCGAGGTAGATTAGTTTCTTTTCAGTTTGCATATAGGCCATGGATTTTCCAGACATATACGTGTGAATTGCACCTGGAAAACGCCATGCTCGATTTCAGACGAGGCCCTCGTCATAACTGCACCGATAGACCTGTTCTTAAATCAATGCTTCAAAGCATACAAAGTGTTAAATCACTAACACTACGAAAACGCCATGCTCGATTTCAGATTGCACCTGGAAAACGCCATGCTCGATTTCAGACGAGGCCGTCGTCATAACTGCATCGATAGACCTGTTCTTAAATCAATGCTTCAAAGCATACAAAGTGTTAAATCACTAACACTATGTAGATGGATATTTGAGGTATGTGCTGGTAATTTATCAATTCATCCATATCTTTAACCGCTTTTTCACTCGCTCATGACTTAAAGATTTCTTTGTACTTTTTTTGTATTTTTTCATTTATTTTAGGAATTGATCTGGGAGATATTACCCTATTTATGCGCCGACTATTATTTCTACAACCTAAAGGAGCTGTGGTGGATCGATTATTCAGCAGAGAGCGACAATGCTAATGCCCTACTTTTGGTTTCTAAAACTCTGTCCTTACTTGGAAAGACTCTATGTGACTGTATGTCTTTCCATTTTCATGACATATTCTTGTTGGATTTTCATGATATAGTTGTAGTTCTCACCACAGTTTGATACTCTTCAACAATCTTCTTAACCTTCTGATCAAACTTGCAGATTGATCCTAAAAGAAGCACAAAATTCTCAGGTGTAGTGGGTGGAATCAACAAACTCAATCATCTCAAGGTTGTCAGATTAGAAGGATTTGCAGATTCTAACGAGGAGATTTTCTTTGCAAAGAGTTTGAGACCTTTATTCAAAGCAAGACCAGTAATCATAACAAAGTTGAATGGGACTTGGTCGCGATATCTGGTGAAAGTACTAGATCTGGAGGAGCAAGGGAAATATCGATACTGGTTCAAATTTGTTAAGGATTTTCATGAAATATGTCCTGATCATGTTCACATGAATCTTTAAACAGATATTTTTGAACTCTTAAGGACTGCATTTCTGTTTTCTATTTGTTAGCTGCAATGAAGTATTATCTGAAAGGCTAGTTTTATGTAAAGATTGAACAAAATCTGTTAGCTTAAGACTGTAATAAAGCTAAATGAATTCATGAAACAGCGTACACTCTGTCAAAAATCAGAACATTTTTTCAGATAAACTTAAATGGTATCCAATAGAAACAGAGAAAAGAAATGCTTTGCTAGTTCAAAGATATATAGAAGACTGAACTTTGTTTTCTTCTTTCTTAACAAAGAAAGTTAACATAAGTGAAAACGTGTCGCACTTAAAAGATCATGTGGACATGATCTGGACAACCTTGATTCTTGAATTCTCTAAACAAGTTCCATCCAAAGACTTCGTTATAATTACTGGTCTCTCTCTGAATAAAGGAATCAACCGCCTTGTAAACGCAATTTCCTCCTTATTTGGAAATCCTTCTAATTGCAGGAGCTTGAAATCCATCAGTTTTTCGCGTATGGTGCCAAGGCCAGCTGAGAACTTTTGTGTGCTTGTCATGGTATAGCTTGTAGGATCAATCTGCAAGTTTTCATCAGCAGACAGCAGGTCATGAAGAGTTTGCATTAATGGTTGCATATATTGCTGTGAGTTGTTCAACCATGACGATCATTCAGTGAAATTGAAGAGGTTGGAAAGTAACAATATATCATGACCATGGAAAGACTTGACAGTTACATAAAGTCTTTCCGAGGCAGAACAATGTTTCACAAAGCATTGTAAGACATCAACATTGTCTTTTTCCATTGAACAATCAATCCACCAAAGCTCTTTCAGCCAGGCAAGACGATGAAAATGCCTTTTATCGGATAACATCCGGTATATCAATGCCTGCAAATTTCAAAAAGAAAGAAGACTAGTGGCTAGGTACGATAGAACTTGTCAAAGGTTGGGTCATGAATGTTTAGAGTACACAAACTTGAAAATTCTTTCTAAAGAGCGGACAAGTTACTGCAGCATACTGCATACCCCAAAAGCCCAACTACACAGTGTCAAAGATGTTAACCCAGCCCAAGCTTTGAACGATTAACTCAAAGCTAGGAGTAATATTGCTGCAGTCGTAGCCAAAGCCTTGTCTGAAATCAAACATGGCATTTTCCAGGATAAATATTATCCAATCCTTGTGGGAAACTTCAAACTCGAAGGGCACAAATCTGCCTCGATACCGGAAAGAGCTCTCAAAACTTAGGTATTCCAGCTGTGGGCAATCGAAGACAGTTAATTTTCGTAGTTGAGTAGCGTCCCTTGTTTGTAAAGACCACAGTCTATCGCATTCTGCAATGGTCAAGCTTTCGAGAGATGGGAACTTCGACAGCATAGAAGAAACTGTCTCACTGGAAAGATGGCTCACTGATTTTAGATACAAATAAGATATTAGGTTTACTGGTTGGGAAGAGGGCTGTTTCTTATGTTTCAGTCTAAATAACCAATCAAACGTCATGAGAAATTCCTCTTTCCTTGCTGAGAAATCGAGGTGAAGCGTAACTGACAGCAATTGAGCCCCATGGATTTCTTGGTTAGTGGAGTTGAAAAAAATTTATCTACAAATCCCACTATAGCAATAACAGCATCTTCTATGGTTTCCATCATATACAATTGCCTTTCTCCACATGTTTTTCCAAAGCAGTTTGGACAGTAGATTCATGTCATCAGGCAAACGATTGATATAATCGTTAGGATCCAAGTCACTGTTCAGAATACAAGATTTGATGTCACAATTAATGTAGAACTCAAAAAGATCCCGGGACTGATAGAGCTACTCTATCTCGAGATTATTAGGGTGTAGATGTGTAGTTTCCTGCTCATCTTGGGAGGGGCTTACATTCTAACTAGTGCTAATAAGTATACCAGTGTTCTAACCAAGACCTCTTATTGCCAAGAGGAACAAACAAACATGAAATTATAATATCTAGCCAAATGCCAAAAGGGGTAAAATCCATCTTTGTTTTAGATTTTGAAGACTCCCATGATTGCTTATTTACCTTCTTTCTGTCTTACATGAATTTTTTCCAATGACTTATTCTTATTTAAGATTGTTTGATTGAAGGGGTATGATTTTTGTAGTATATATTATTTAACACATAATACAATAATGAACTTCACCATTGCATATAATTATCAATTTTTAAATGAAATAATATTTTATGTTCTATTTTTTATTTATGCATTTGGTTTATATCAAAGACTCTTTAGTTGTCTATATTGAAAAAGAAATTGATACGTAATTTGTTGTTATACATTGTTGTTTCAAAAGATTTATTTTATCATTTATTTGTTTATATAATGCCATTGATTATTTTTCTCTTTTATTACAAAATACAAGGAACACTATCAAGCAATTACTATTCTATTTTTCTTTGAATTTTACTATTGGATTTAGGATCAAACTAATTGTTTTTGGATGATTGAATTTCCATTCATCCAAGGGCTAAAATATATAACCCATTTGTTTTTTTTCCTTTTAATTCATTATCAGATTAAAAATCTGTTTTTGAACATGAATATGGATCCTAATTATTGATTTAATTAGTGGCTTCATCCAATGAACAACTTTGTAAGCATCATTGTTTGTCACTTATCTTCTTGTTACGAAAATTATCTGAGAAACAATAAAGATAAAATGTAAAGAAATCATATTAACAAAAAAAAAAGTTTTCATTTCTTTTTAAGTCCAAGAAGAATAATCAAAAGAAACAGAGGCATGATCCAGATAATAATGACCCAAGTAATACTGCAAGGTAAGAACTGGTATTATTTTCTTCTCAACTTTCACTATTGATTCAAAACGATCAATTGGAAAATTGGAAGTCTTTTAAGATCAATCTTGTATTTGAACAGGGATTTGGATGTGGTTGATTTGTATCCGAATGATTTTCATCAGTCGTTTACCTGACGACATATCCTTCACCAGATTGTTTCCTTGCTCCGTTTTCAATTAGCTGTCCGAACCACATTTCTTTCTACTCAGTGGAAAGACTTTTGGAAAGAGGCTCTGTTGGCTTCGGTCTATGATGTTGTAACAATGGAAGATGCTGTTAATTCTATATCGAGCTGCTATACACCATCCACCAAGATATAAGTGGGTTTCAAATTTGAGCTTGGCCATGGTAGGGTCCTCTTAGCTGCTATTACGCCTAATAATTCACTTCAACTAGATTTATCTGCGGGTAAACAAGAATCCTCGAGGCCATCTGTTTAGTTTTTGAATCTGAATCTTTCATGGCCTAACCATTTGCCGCTTCGGAATATAAATGGTATAAAGAAAGAAAAATTTTTGTATCTAATATCAGTAAGCTATCCTTCTAATGAGGCGGTTTCATCTATGGTGTCGAATCGCCCAGTTCTTAAAAGCCTGACTATCGCAAAATGCAATGGATTAGAATCTTTACGAATAAACAAAGTTAGAAGGTTTCATAAATTAGTTGTCTTGGACTGCCCTCAATTAGAATCTGTCTGCATTCAGGGTTCCTGCTTAGCGTGCAGATTGGCGTCTTTGGTGCTTCAATTTTGCTCTGGTATTAGATATTTCTTTCAGGCTCCCTCTCTCGACAGGTTCCTATTCTACATACGATAGAATCAATAATCTTAGCTTCATATCAGTCTTCCAAGGCATTCAATTTGTTAAATCAACACTGTGTAGATAGGCTTTTGAGGTATGTTACAGCAATTTATCCACTCTGAAAAAGATTTTTTCAGGCTTCTGTACTTGTAAACACTCATGGCTCAAACTTTGATCAGTTCTATTGTACCTAACTTCGATAATGTTCTTTCTTCTTGCAGGTAATGATCACCGGGGTGTTTCCGTATTTAAGTAGAAAATCTGTGATTAGTCTCTCCGAGCTGACAGAGCCGTGGTGGATTGATTGTTCAATGGACACAGACAATGTTAATTCCCTACTCGTCTTTCTTAAACTCTGTCCTCGACTGGAAAGACTCCATGTGACTGTAAGTCATTCCATTTTCATGATATAAATAGATTTTTACTTGGTGAACAATGGAATGATTGTTATGGTAGGAACTCACAGCAATGCTACCATTAATTGACAATTTTGAGACTCTTCCTCAAACTTGCAGATTGATCCTGAAAGCTATAACATTTGAAGCACAAAAAAGTTCGCAGTTAAACTCAATGAAATCAAAAAACAAGATCATCTCAAGCTCTCAAATTAGAAGGATTTGCAAACGAGAAGGATGAGATTTTGTTAGCAAAGCAGCTGGAACCTTTAGTTTAAATGAGCCCACAGCTCTTCGCCAAGTCAAAAGGGGCCCGTTTGCGGCGGCTCGTTAAAGTACCTGAGCAATCCTTACAAGCTCAAAGAGGTTCATAATTTGCATGAAACATGTCCCGATCATGTTCATATGAAGTTCTAACTGTCTCATATAATTAATTTCTTTGCAAAAGAAGTGGAAACATAAGTTCAAGTTTGTAGCAATGGATTTGTAAGGAGTTCAATTATACCATTAAACTTGTCTAAATCCAATTTCCCTTGTATAGCCTTTATTACTGCAACCGATTAAAAACATTGTTTTATTATTATTTTTTTGTGTTAAGCAATTGTGATTAGAATGCTACTATTTTTCATGAAAACATATAAAGAGAAAGAAGCTTTGCCAATTAAAGATGAGTGTTATTGAATTCTCTCAGGAAAGAAGACTTTGGCTTAATCAATCAGAAATTACATCTGGTTAGGAATGTAAATATATTTTATTCAATATTTATAATGTTACCAACATGTGATCTTGAATTTAAAGATTATGCCCTAATGTGTTGGGTTGTATACATGTTAAATAAATTATATTCGATGCCAATAAATGATTCACCAATTTCTATTGAAAAAGATATTGAAACGATTTTCATAAGATTGTCTAACTTAATAAATTTTGATCAGTGTGCTTTCTAAAGTGTTTTAAAGTTATATTATTTATATTAATATTGTATATATAAGTGTTTTTAAAGAGAATTATTTTTTAAAGTCTTGCAATAATAAAATCATGAATTGATATTATATTGGTTGGATGTGACAATAAAAATTATTTATTTATGAAGTCATGATGGATATGAAATGGGGAAAAGACTAGTTAGTAAAGATTATAATGAAAGGAACTTTATTGGTAGTTTTTTTCTCTGTAAAGTTCAATTGTAATGTGTTGATAAACATTGTTGCAATTAGTAAGTATATAAAATTTTTAAGTAATTTAAGACACTCAATAATAATATTGGATTACAAGAAATTTCAAATAAAATATTAATCATGAAACCATGTCGACTTGAACTCTGTTCGTAAAGAGATTCTTAAAGATGCCATATTTTTGGTTAACCATAGTCAAGTCCATGAACACATCCGTATATAAGTGAGGAGACCTAAAAAACTTCGAAGCTTTCAATCTTTGGAAGCAAAGCACTTGAATTGCTTTTGAGGTTTTGTTTTTTATATATGATTCTCTTGGGGTATATCCTTTACTTTTATATTAAATAACAATGATTATTAGAGAATCCAAGAAGACATATTTCGTTTGTAAGGCAGAACCTTTTAGTGACAATTACTTGTCACTTGGAAGAGGCAACCCTATATCTTGCAAGCCTATGAAAGCTGAAGAAAAGATGGGAAAGAAGAATCCAGAGACAGAACATGATGGGATCAGACTACTTTCTTTGAAATCCTTGTGAGATAAATTTTTACTATTTGATGGGATCAGATTAGTTTCTTTGAAGTCCCTGTGACATAAATCTTGTTTTTTTTTGTAACAGGAATATGGATTCTAAAGATTTAATCATTTGTTTTCCAGATGAGATCCTTTACCACATCATTACCTTCCTCCCTCTTGAATCAGCTGTCCAAACCACTCTTCTTTCTACTCGATGGAAAGATCTTTGGAAAAAGGCTTTTGTATATGGAGGTATAGAAAATGCTGTTGTTAATGTATTTAGCCTTCTTAATGATTTTGCTGAACTTCGTCCACCAAGAAGCAAGAGGGGATTCCAGTTTAACATTGGACAAGGTAGAGCCCTCTTTGCTGCCATTGCGCCTAATGATGCACTTCATCTGGATTTCTCTGCTGGGGAACAAGGATTATCGAGGTCATTTGATTGGTTGTTACCGTTGAATCTTCCTGCACATGACAAATGGCCATTTCCCTACAAACATGATAAGCTGTTGGAGCTAAATCTCCCATTGCAGCAGTTCAAAATAAAAGCTCTGTATCTAACATCAGTATGCCTCCTTTTCAGGAAGGTGCTTACTTCTCTGGTGTCGTATTTACCATTTCTTGAGAGTTTGACTATTGCAAAGTGTAATGGAGTAAAATCTTTAGATATAGAAAACGCTGCTAGGCTTCAAAAATTAACTGTCTTGGATTGCCCACAATTAGAATATTTCTGTTTTGGAGGTTCCAGCTGCTTAAAGTCTTTCCAATATCAAGGCAGATTAGTGTCTTTACGGTTTAAACCTTCCTGCAAATTTAATTCTTATCACTTGTCGAATGAACATTTTTGTCACTGTGGATTCCAATTGGAAGATGTCATGCTTGATTTCAGACAAGGCCCTCTAACACGATGGACATGGGACTTTGAAATGCCTAGCAGTGCTGGTGCTAATGGATTCTACAAAATCTGCAATTGTGGTGGCACCACCTTGTTTCAATGCGTCAAATTAATTCTGAATGGCGTAGGTCGTGCTGAATCTCTAACAATGTGCAGATGGCTTTTCAAGGCATGTTTCAGTAATTTATCTAAACTCAGTAAAGAAAATTTCAGTTTCATGCGTCTGTACAAGTATCCTCTCATAACTGATTAATCATTGATCAGTTTTATTGTCTAAACTTATTTTCTTCTGTTCTTTTTTTTATTTAGAAATCATTTTGCAAGAAGTTGCCCTCTTCAAGTACAGACCTTGGCTTTCGTTTGTTGCTGTTCAAAGAGCTTTGGTGGATTGATTGTTCAATGGAGAGAGAAAATATCAATGCCCTACTTTGCTTTCTGAAGCTCTGTCCTAACTTGGAAAGACTATATGTGATTGTAAGTTTTCCCATTTTCTTGATATGAAAAATTGGCACTAGTGCAATGCTAGCATGGATTTCACTTTTGTTTGATGAGCAATTAAATGACTTCAATGATAGAACTCGCAACAATGCATCGATTAATACGCAAATTTGATACTCTCCAATTCTCTTAACTTGCAGATTGATCCTAAATGCTATAACTTGCCTAGCACTGAAAGATTCTCAGCCATAATCAATTTTCCTGATTATAAACTCTATAATCTCAAGTTTGTCAAAGTAGAAGGATGTACAGATGAGACGAAAGAGAATCTGTTTGCAAGGCGGTTGAGAACTTTATTTCTAGGAAGTCCACTAATTATATCAAATCAAAAGTATACGGGAGTCATTCGAGGTGTCTGGTGAAGGTGCCTAAGCTTGTTCGAGGTGTCTGGCAAAGGTGTTCAACCTGGAGAAGGAAGGGAAGTATCCTTACAAGTCCTGTTCATATGAACTCTTGAATTAATCTCAATAAGTTTTCATTTATGTTTAATTTCATTGCCACGAAGAAGGCAAAATAACATTTTTCTGTATCTTTGAAGATATAATTTTTATTGGATTATTGAGTTTGTCTAGGAAAAGGTTTTGCATTTTGGACATAGTTAGTTTGGTAACTTGGGTCCTATTAGGTTCTAAGTTCATATTTCTAATTTCCTTTTACGACTGCTAACTAAAAAAAAGTGTAGAACAAAATCTGCAGGAGCTGATTGAAAAACATGCAGAATAATTGTCAGGAAAATGTGCAAAAAGAAACAAGCTAAGATTAAAGTTTCAACCTTCTTTCAACCTTCTGAGCATTATGAAATGGTATGATTCATGGAGTAGGAAAGTAAGCCTTCCCAGCTCAAATATTGTATCTCTTATCATTTTTGTTGTAAGTATATACAGTACTATTGAAGGATTTGATGTTAGGATAAATTAAATGCAAACAGAACTCTATATGTATTAACAAATGAATCACACAGTAATGTGCTAATCCCTGAAGTTCCCCTCCACTTACCAAAACAGCCATGGTTTAATGGGGATTTCGTTTGAAAACTTTTGTCTCTCTGACCAAACTCAATTTACTTGCATTATAATTAATCCTGGAACATAATAACGGGCTGCAGCAATTTCTTGTCAATTGGTCCAATCTTCTTCAAGAAATATAATTAATAAAACTTAAGGGTACTCATGGCTCATTCTTCTTGCATTATGCAGATAGGTTCTCAGGGTATATTCAATTAATTTTTTCAGATTATAGCATTCAGTCTTCAAATTATTTTGCCAGTGGGAACTTCTTTGCCTAGCATCATTATTCATCACCTTCCCCCCTTTGGAATCTCCGGTAAGCTATACTGACAAGATTTTTTCTGGCACTAGATTATAATATATCTGATAAGGGAATATAACACCTTTCTTATCCTTTGTAATATATATGATCAATTTCATGCGGAAATTCCTAATCAAACTTCTTGTTTACTCCAATTCTGGCAGCACCCTATCATTGGCTCAAAGGGAATGGGAATGTCCGTCCATTATTTTTCACAATAATAGTTTGTGTTTGTGCTGCCAATTGCTTTTTGAACAGCTAAAGATGCAAATGTACTGGAACTCAGACAACCAAAGTTAGAGTTTTTATGCCACCAAAAGTCTTCGACTTGCATAATTTAAGACTTTGGAATGGCATGATAGTCAGTTCTCGTACTCCAAAAACCTGAGGAAAAAGGAAAGAATAAAGAGATTAAATTCAGGTGTAAAAAATTGGGTTAGTAGGTGAGAACAGAAAATTTGATTTGGAAACAAACTTACGACTTAAATTACATTGATTCAATCAAAATTATATGAATCTCCAATGATAGGTGAAGTAGAGGCAGAGTACCAGAGACTTTCCTTTCAGGATTCAATTCTCTACCATGCTTACAGAAGAATGAAATTTAAGCTACTGACAAAAGTTTTCTTGTAATAAATTGTATTATTGCATAAAAATGGGAATGTAACAGTTTTCTTATCTTTATAGAGATATATGTCTAGCTTAGCTACCTAAACAAATGTGAAAAGAGATAATTAAATTATTATATGGGAAAATGACTTTGTGACAACAAAGTCAATCCACATTACTTGCATTCTAAGTCTAATGGAAGATGCAACCCTATTTAGACTTTATTTGTTGAGTTCTTTCCTGGAAAGGTCAAAGTCAAACCCCATATATATCTTTGAATAGGTAACTAACATCTCCAGTATTTTCTTTTGAAAATACTATTAATTTTGCAAACCTCTGAAAGCTGAAGAAAAGATGGGAAAAAAGAGTATGATGAAGAAGAAGAATCCAGAGACAGAACATGATCCAGATGACAGCCAAAGGAACAACTGTTAGTATTTTCTTCTGAATGTTGTTTTTGTATGTTGACACTATCAGACCAATTTTACTCCTTGCCAATTATTCTCTTATGATAGCACAAGAAAATACCTGCTCTATCTTTTTTTTGGCTTTTACTATTTGATAGGATCAGACTATTTTTCTTGAATTCCCTGTGAGATAAATCTTGTTTTCCTACAGGAATATGGATCCTAAAGATTTCATCAGTTGTTTCCCGTATGAGATCCTCTGCCACATCATTACCTTCCTCCCTTTTGAATCTGCTGTCCAAACCACTTTTCTTTCTACTCGATGGAAAGATGTTTGGAAAAAGGCTTGTGTACTATATGGTACCATTGAAGATGCTGTAGTTACCATATTGAGCCTTCTTAATGATTTAGCTGACCTTCATCCACCAACAAATAAGTGGGGCTTCCAGTTTAACTTTGGCCATGGTAGAACCCTCTTTGCTGCTATTGCACCCAATAATACACTTCATCTTAATTTCCTCGCTGGGGAACAAGAACTGTCAAAGTCATTTGATTGGTTGTTACCGTTGAATCTTCCAAAGCGTGATAGATGGCCATTTCCTTACAAATATGAGAAGATATTGGAGATAAATTCCCCATTGCCTACTGGTCAGCAGTTCAAAATAAAAGCTCCGTATCTAATATCAGTATGCTGCCTTTCTAGCAAGGCGCTTACTTCTTTGGTGTCATATTTACCATTTCTTGAGAGTTTGACTCTTGCAAAGTGTAATTAGATATAGAAAATGCTGCTAGGCTTCAAAAATTAACTGTCATGGATTGCCCACAATTAGAATATCTCTGTTTTGGAGGCTCTTGTTTAAAGTCCTTCCAATATCGAGGCAGATTAGTGTCTTTTCTGTTTAATGTGTTCTGTAATTGTAATTCTTATCGCTCGTGGCTTTCACGTATGCATCATCGTGGATTATACTTGGAAGATGCCATGCTTGATTTCAGACAAGGCCCTCTAACACATTGGACATGGGACTTTAAAGAGCCTTCCTCTTATACTCCTTACTATTATGGATTATACAGAAGAAGCTGGAATTGTGTTGATCCTGTTCATATGAAACTTTAAATTAAACTCAAACGGTTTCACTTATGCTTAATTTCATTGCCAAGAAGAAGAAAGCAAAATTCAGTTTTGTAACTTTGAACTCATAAGGACATGGTTTCTATTTTTCTTGAATTATTGAGTTTGTTCAGGAAAACATTTTGATTTTTGGACATGGTTATAGCTTATGACTTGTTTCACATTAGCTTGTAAGTTCATTTTTCTAGCTTCCTTTTATAATTGCTTATTAAAAAAAACAAATGCAGAGCCGGACCTAATTGAAAACCATGTAGAATAAGTGCCATGAAAAGGTGCCAAAAGAACCAAGTCATGCAAGCTAAGATTAAGGTTTCAACCATGTGTAACCATTATGTATGCTGAAAAAGTTTTATATTTATCAAACAACTACATTAATTCAATCAGAATTATATGGATCACCCATGACTGGTCAAGTAGAGGTAGAGTCCTAGACCCATTCCTTTTAGGATTCAATTCTCTTCCATCTTACAAAAGAACGAAATTTAAGCTACTGACAAGAATAACAGAAATCATTTGCATGTAAAATTTATCAACAAAAGCGTAAAATCTTTACAAATAAAAAGAGCTAGAGGGCTTGATAAATTAGTTGTCTTGGAAAGGGGTTGAAAACTTTATTCAGAATGAGGCCATAGATCTTCACCAAGTCTTAAGGGGGCTTGCTTGCGGTGTCTGGTTGAAGCACCTAAGCTGGAAAATGAAGGGACGAGGGATGCATACCAGTTTGAAGAGGTTAAAAATTTCCACGAAATTTGTCCTGATCATGATCATATGAAGTTCTAACTGTCTCATACGATTTATTTCTTTGTCAAGTAGAGGCAGAGTACTAGAGACATCCCTTTCAGGATTCAACAATTCTCTTATATCTTACGAAAGAATGAAATTGAAGCTACTGACCAGGGTTTTCTGGCAAGAAGTTGTATTACTGAAACAATGGGAATATAACAGTTTTCATATCTTAATAGAGATATATGTCTCGCTTGGCTACCTAACCAAATATGAAAGGAGATAAATAAATTAGTACTCCTGGAAAAGCAACCCTATATAAGTTCAAAGTCAAAACCACATATATATATATATATATATATCTTCTAATAGGCAACTAACATCTTCAGTATTTTCTTTTGAAAATGCTCTTAATTTTGAAAGAAGAATTCAGATACAGAACATAATCCGGATGAGGTATACAAGGTTTTTGTATATGCAGTGTGTAGGTAGACAAGTTATAGTGAATCCAAATCTATATGTTGTTGATCTGATAATATTTCACAAAAAAAAAAAAATTCATATAAAAATATTTCAAAATAAAAAGTTGAAATTTGATGAGCAAAAGGGGAATTTGACTAGGTTAGACTACTAGTAATAGAAAATAAAAAGAAGTAAACTTTATGATTGATGGTTTGACTAGTTAAAAGTATTTGTATTAAAGATTTTTCAATACTTCTGTATTATTTATTATTTGTCATTTTTTCCGTTACTTTTATCGTTTTTAGTTATGATTTGAATAACTAATCTCTTAAAATTTTAATAAAATTTGATTGTCTTTCTAAAAATAAAAAAACGAAAAGGTAATAACGGTTACTAACGAATTCTCTGTCTCTACAAGATACGTACAGTTATTTTTCATAAAAAATTAAAAAGTATCGTATTACACTAATTATTTTCTTTTTGGATCAGGAAGGTGGGAGATTTCTTATTCATGATTCACTGATTGCTTCAATCTGATACATGTTAGTACAACTTGTATAACCTGAAAGATATGTGATAAAATGATTTTGATAAACATATTGCTCGTGCTTATATGCCAGAATAAAGCTGAAGAGGTTTACTATCATTGACTTGCATTTCATGTTGATTTGGCTGACTTCTTCTTCTTCTTTTTTGTTTTTTGCTGAATTAGAAACAATTTTATTGAATATGAATGATTGATACAAAATCTGATCAACTGAAGGAGATCATGTTAAAGCTTACAAGAGCACACCATGAGGAGAGAAGTGAAACAATTCCCAATACAGCAAAGAAACAACACCCTACAATAAAAACCTTAAGAAACAACAAAATTGAAACAACACCCGACACCCAAATATGATTAAGTTGTCTATAGCAATAGAACTCATGATATGTGATAACAATCATAATATTTGAATCATAAGGAATTTATTTAGGTACATTAGATTCCAGGGCTGATTGTGAACAAGAAAAGAAAATGTAAATAACTTAAACTAGAAGATAAAAACATGCAATGAGAACATCCCTAGACATAACACAAGCAGACAGACGGTGCTGAAACTGTGATACGCATAGCTGTTTTTCCTAAGGGAAAAAAACAGTGGGGTTGTTATCCCCAAATGGGAGCACCAGACCAAGTCCCACGTCCTCTGGTGAGTGCAGCAGCTCGTCAATCATCTGTTCCCAATCCTCTGTTTCCGTGCTCGCCTCACGTTCTGGCCTCTCCGCTTGCACCTTCTCTCCACTCTTCAGCATCACTTCTGGTGTTGCCATTGTTGCTGATGCTGCTGCTACAGACCCTTGGGAATGAGACGCCTTGGTAAGCGTATCAATCCTCTTGTCAATATCCTCCAGGTTTTGCTCGAGCAACCTACCGAGGTCATTCAAATCCTTCATGTTCAAACTCTCCAACCCTTGTCCAGCCAGGCATTGGAACATGACTTGTGTGATCTCTTTCTCACGATTGTCCTTAGACTGTCTCTGGAGCTGTTGGTTGGCGATTTCAATCCTTTGCCTAAGGAAACTCTCTTGGTTCATCATCTTCTTGCTTTGATCCATCGTAGGCACCTTCTTAAAATCCGAAAGCACACTCTGGGCTCCCTCAGGGGATGGCCAAACCACAGGTTGAGTGTCATAAGGACTGTAGATAATCACACAAGCTTCTATCCCGCAAAGCGTACTCAATTCACTCGCCTTCTTCAACAGACCCTTCTTTCTTATCCTGAAGGTAGCTTTCCTTGCAGAATCATCGACGATGTAGGAAAACTTCTCCTTCCTTGGTGTCATGGCTGCCTAGAAACCAAATAGTTGGAATTGAAAGCTTTCTATGCACTCTTTACCCAAACAGCCTATGCTATATATAGAGATAAAGGGATCCCATTGTTCTTATCGCAAGATTATAGTGGTATTGGTCCTTGTTGCACATATTAATGATGACTTAATAGGAAAGGAAAAACTATCAGGGCACCCCTATTCTTTCATCCAAAAATCCCATTATAGTCTTTTATTTGAAGTGGATTGATGCAAACATTGACAAAATATCTTTGTGGAGGGAGTGAAAATTTGCTCAAAACAATGCAATTATAGCTGTAAAGGATATGAAAAGATCTTGGTCTAAGGATATCAAAGCTGTAATGTTACATACAAAATTCAATTTGAGAAGTTGGTTGGAATTGGGCTGGCTTCTCTTAACGTAAGACATGATGATTCTTGTTTCCATGATAGGATCTAGCATGAATCATAAAATGTTTTTTGGTTTTATTCATCCATTCATACACATTTGGTATTTTGTTTTTTTTTATTGCTAATTTTGGTAATTACAGATCACACATTTAAGTGTGATAATTAAGAAAGGACAAGAAGATCTATGATGTCAATCCCATAGTGTAACAAAATGCTCTTGTTCATATAGAAATTACATATGCAGACAAATGTTTAATTGTTCCTTATCAATAGGATGATTTAAGGAGAAATCATTCGTGTTTTAATTTGATATGTGTGTATGTGGCGCTCAGAAAATTTTGATCCCATAGTCCGTTATGGAATGTAACTAGTATCAAAGAGTTAAGTTAGAGTTCCGTCATTAGATTAAACAAGATTAGTCCATTCCATCAAATTTAGATACCTCATCTACAGCACGTATAACGGAAAGTTAGATTATTAATATATAACATTAGATAAAAATTAATTAATAGATAATACTTTTTTAGTGAGTTTTCTTTTTATCCCCATTTAAATAAATTTTTCTTTTTAATTTCACAAAGTAAAAAGTATGTTTGAAATGTACAAAACGTTTGGTTTTTTTCAGAAAAAAGGGTTAAAAAACTTTGTAATTTTGAAACAATGAAAGATACATAAATAGTGCGTAGCATATTCCAATTACAATTTTTGTAACTTAATTAGTCTAATATATTAATAAGGAATGTAAGGTGAATATTAAGGAATGCAAGGTGGTGTATTATTTTGTTAAAATGGTTAGAGGATGGGTGTTTAGATTTTTGTATTTTGCTCTTTCTTAATTTACACCAACATTTTATTTTTGTGTATGCATTGTGTAGGCAGACAAGGTTTTTGTTATAGTAGACTTTTAAATTGAGATATTTCTTTTAATTTTATTTTGATTTGTTTTCCATTGCTGAACCAAAAACTTTGAGTTAATAATTTTTCTAATTTTCATATTTTCCCAAACTTCAAAAAAGTGAATCCAAATTAATATGTTGTTTATCCAATATTATTTTTTAAAAAATCTCATAAAAAAATTTCAAAAAACAAAAAAGCCAAAATTTGATTAACAAATTAAAGGGAAATTTAACTAGGCTAGACTTTTAGTAATAGAAAAAAAAGAATTGGAATGGTCAACTTAGGACTGATGGGTTGACAAAAATAAAAGTATCTCATAGTAAAGATTTTTCCACATTTTGTAATATTTATTACCTGTTAGGTTTTTTCGTTATTTTTATCCGTTTTTAGTTATAATTTGAAGAATTGATCTTTTAAAAATTTAATAAGATTTCATTAGCTTTCCAGAAAAGAAAATGAAAAGAAACAAAGACAACGGCTACTAACTAATTCTATGTTTCTATACAATATGTATTGTTATCATTTACTAAAAATTAAAAAAAATTCATATTTCACCAATTATTTTCATTTTGAATAAAAAAAGGTTGACGATTTCTTATCCATGGCTCACTCACTGGTTCAATTCAATACATGTTAGCACTGATTTTTTTTGGTTTCTTCACAACATATATATATTGCCGAGTCTTCAACCTTTAGACATGACATTAATGTTTAGTTTACCCCTACTCTTCAACCTTGTGCTGAATAATCAAAGGTGGCTCTTAATTTTCATTCCCTTCTGCATTCTAATTTATTGCTGATTTTATTCATATCCAAAGAACCAAACCAAACCAATCCTTAATCATGAAATTTTTAGCTTAGCTAATGCATATATATAATTTCCAATATTTTTATGATTTCTATTGCAATGCACTGCTCTGAGCCCAAGGTATCGGCTTTGTCGAGGGGAAGATGAGAGTCAAGCTGTTGTCTATCCTTCTCTCCTTGTCGTACTTACATTGCACGCCTTCTTCTGTCTTTGACTTGCTCTGCCTACCCTGATGAATATTTTGTCTTTTTCATATATCGAATTTTAATCTATATATATATTTATATATGTATATAGGAACTAACATATTTTAATATATATATATATATGTATAAAAGACATATGTTTTGGCTCTTTTTAGGCCTTGTTTGATCAGCACAGGGATCAATAGTTTTTAAAAATTAACTAAACATAGAATTAGTTTAGTTGGTTTGATTTTGAATCAATGGATCAAAATTTTATTATTTTTTATGAATTATAAAATTAAAATTCATAATTTTTATCTATAATTATAAAATATACAAATAATGTATAAATTAAATATATGTATATATATAATATTATTTTATTATATATATGAAATTAATGACACAACTTATATACTATAATGTTTTATATTAAAGTTCGAATAAATAATAACTAATTATAAATAACATGTTATAAAAACTAAGGTGAAAATTAATAAGGTTATTAAGTGTAATCATATAAAAAAGTTTATTATAAGTTATAGTAATGCTTATATAGAAATTATGTATATATATATAATATTTATATAATTATATATAGATTCATAATATTTTACGTTACAAACCATTACCAAGATGTAATAATTACAACATATTAATATGTAGGATATTTACTATCATATATTATAACATTAATATATAAGTTATATCATTTAAAATATATACCTTGTAATTTTATATTAATACAAATTTATAAATAAATATATAATTAAAATTAAATTACTATGATTATGATTTGTATACGTACAAATAATAAATTAATATATTTTAAGTATATTATTAATTAAGTTTATCGTTAATTTTCTTAATATATATAAAAATATTTATATATTAATATATATATATATATAATGTTTATAAAAAATTAGTTTGATGTTTTGGATAAATAGGTCTAAAAATTTTAAAATCGAGAATCGACTTAAAAACCAATTGAACTAAACATTTGGATCAATTGATCTAATAGACCAATTAGGTTAAACTGTTTTATTCAAATCACATTTGGTTTGGATTGGTAATTAGTTTTGTTTGGTTTTGCTCACCTCTACTTTTGAGAGTCTTTGTGTTCTAAGGGTAGCGTTGTGGGGTGTGAGTCTTGGATTTTCTTCAGGTGGTGTTTGGAGTTTTGAACCAGGGGACATGAGAGTGGACGTAAAAAAGAAATAAGGATAAACGCTTGACTGGTAGAGTCGGACTAGGAAAATACAAAACCATTTTTGGTTATGAGAGTAAGAGTGTTGGTTATAGTTGCAAGGTTGTGATTAAATACAAGTTAAAGGGAATGAAAATATTTGTTCGTGACATGGAATTCTTTTGTTGCTGATGTATGATGTCTCATGAGTCATTTGTTGGTGTATTTTCAAAATAAAAGAATTGTCTCTTAATATGAAAAGTTATCTTGACTCAAAAGTTATGAGATAATTGGAAAAAAACACAAATCAAAGTTAGAATATGAAAAATTATTTGTTAATATTGTAGTTCAAAAAGTATACCTTATGGAATGAGTGGTTGTCATTTTGTAATGTGAAATGAAAAGTTATCTTTTCATATTACAGCTTAAAATTTATGTTTTATGGAATAAACGGTTGTCTTTTTATAAGATGACTATTGAAACAATATTTTTATTTAAGCATTGTGCCTTGCAAAGTGCAAAGGCATGTTTAAAACAAAAAGATGCTTTGATGAAAGAGTTATGTTTTTGAAGAAGAGACACTTGCGAGCTTATGTAAAGAATTTATTACCAACCATTTTGACATATCAAAACAAACAAGACAAGAACAAGGAAATCAAGAGTAAGAGAAGTGTTATATTCTGATAACTAACTAACTCTACGTTATTATATACTTGGAGTGTAGTCAAATATGCTTTTTATGTATTGTTTTTGTTTTTTTTATGTCCCCCATCTACTTGTTCTGAAGCTATTTACATCAATCTCATTCAACAAACGGTAAGTTATTTACTTTTGCTACACTGCAATGATCTTTCCTTCTTTTTCTTCTTTTCCTTTGTTTTGAACTTTTTTTTATAATGCATTGTGTGCTGAATTGTTGAATCCATTTGAGTTTATTGTTGTGATTGAGATTTTATCTGAGTTCAAATTTAGACATTGAGATTCTGCTAGTAAGTGATGAATTTATTCTTGTTTATTTTTCATGCCTTTTGTTTGATAATGATATTGGATTTTGGAAATGCCTTTTCACACATTGATTTATTGTGCGAAGCCATAGGACATGTAACATTCAAACATGTCCCCTACGAAGGCAACCATTGTGCTTATCAACTTGCAAAACGAGGAATGAGACACAACTCTTTATTCATTGCTTGGCTTTGATTTTGGTTATGATAATAGAAAAAACTTGCTGTTGTGATTGTTGTCTGCTGGCTCTTTGTTTTGATTTTGAGCATGATTCTATTATGATGGGGCATTATTCGGGTTGTTTGTTTCAAAGTAATCAAACTGGTTACATGAGCCTTTCTTGCTAGCTTGTTACCCAGTACTTTGTATTTTACATGCTATTAATGAAAATGCATGAATGACATAACAAAAAAATTTTTCTTTGATGTTCAATATTTGGTATAAATTTTGTAAAATTTGCATACTTTACTTTATAAGTTGCTATAAATTTTGTAAAATTGGTAAAATTTATAAAATTTGGACTTTTTTTTTGTAACATATTAGAATGTCAAATGTGTTGTTATTATACAATTTAAGAGCATATTTTAAATGTTGTCATGCATTTTAGGATTGCAGTCATATATTATATGATTGGATATTAATTTTGCTGCAAAATCTCATAAAAAACTGTAGCTAAACTCTTCCATACATTGGCTAAGGCTACACTTTTTCTAAGTGCAATCTTAATTTAAGGCAGCAGATTTTTAAGCATATTTTTCTGCAGCCATGGATCAAAATGTTGTAGTGTAAAGATAACCTTATTTACACCAACATCCTTTCCAGTTGCAGGGCTGTGAATCAACACAAGCTAAAGCAAATGACAAAATTCTCAAGGGAGATGAGAGCAAATGTACTTAACTAGCTGTAGGGAAAGGTTAGGGGAAGCAAGGAAGTACCAAGGCACGGTAACAGAAAGTTGGGTATTTTGAACAGGGATTTGGATGAAATCCTTTACCAAGTTATACCCTTGTTGCTTCAAGAAAAAGAGCAAGTGAGAACTTGTCTATATATTTTCTTTTATGAGGGATTTTGATCGATGTTGTTTTCTTGACAGTAATTTGGATGCTAATGATTTCATCAGTCGTCTACCTAACAATATCCTTTACCAAATCATTTTCGTGGCTGCCATTTCGATCTGCTGTTCGAACAACGTTTCTTTCTACTCAGTGGAAGGACCTTTGGAAAGAGATCTTTCTACTCAGTTGAATTCGGTACATGATGTAACAATGGAACGTGTTGTTGTTATTATATTTAGATTTCTTAATGATTTTGCTGAACAACATGTACCAAGAAATAAATGGGGGTTCCGCTTTAACTTGGCCGAGGTAGAGCTCTCTTTGCTACCATTGCGACTCCGTCTTTATTTCTCAACCGGGAAGAAGAATTGTTAGAAGTCATATGATTGGTCTTTACGTCTTTCAAAAGAAAAGAAATATTATAGGTCTTCACCATTGAACCTTCCATTGTCCAGGACTGGAACCTTCCATTGTACACTGAAAGGAGTATATATATAGTGTTTTTGTGGGATTTGTATATATGAGAGGGGAAACAGAGGCAAAGAAACCTAATGTTTCAGGTGGAGGCAATTAAGCCTTCGTTTAACGGGAATTTCCTTTGAAAACTTGTCTCTCCGACCAAAATCAATTTACTTGCATAGAATTAACCCTTTCCTGGAAAAGGTTCCATGCTGTTTTAAAGTGACTTTATACTGTCCAAATTCTTCTCAGGAAAGATCATAGTCTTACCTGAAATATATATTTTAATAAGCAGTCAATAATGACCCGCCAACAGGTTTTACCATGGCAAACCTCTGAAAGTTCAAAAGAAACAAAACGTGAGGAAAGAAGAGCAGGCTGCGGTATCTAGAAGAATCATCAGGGAAAGAAAGAGCATGAATGATCTTGGTAATAAGCCAAGAAACAGTGGAAAGTAACCTGGTCAAACCAATTTGAGCTCTTGTATAAATCAATCTTGTATTTGAACAGATATTTGAAGGTGTTGATTTTGTCAATGGCTTAGCTGACAACATTCTTTGCAAAATCATTCACTTCTATCAAATGAAGCATCAAGTGATGGAGCATGATCACGATGGTACCAGTTACATAACAAATATTGCCAAGTAAGAACTGTCTCTCCTTTCTTTTTATTTACAATTTGGTAAGATCAGGCAAAATTTTAGTGATGAAACCATTTCTGATATCAATCTTATTTTTCAGGAATTTAGATCCTAATGATTTGATCAGTCGTTTACCTGATGACATTCTTTGCCACATCCTTTCCTTGCTCCCTTTTGAATCTGCTGTCAGAACCACTTTCCTTTCTACTCGATGGAAAGACCTCTGGAAGAAGTCTTTAACGGCTTCCATGCATGATGGATCCTTGGAAGATGCTGCTATTACAGTATTGAGCTTTCTTAATGATTTTGCTGAACTCCATCGACCAAGAAACAAATGGAGTTTCCAGTTTGACTTTGGCCAAGGTAGATCCGTTTTAGCCGCCATTGCACCTAATAACACACTTCACCTTGATTGCTCTGCTTTTGGGCAAAAAATCCAAGGCCATTTAATTGGTTGTTGAAGTTGAATCGTCCATTACGTGATCAGTGGCCATTTCCTTATAACTCTAATGAGTTGTCGGAGACAAACCGTCCATTGCCTAACCCCCGCCACCGGCTATCCTCCTATATATTCAAAATAGAAAATTTGCATCTCATATCAGTAAGCCGCCTTACTTGATTGTTTTGGATTGTCCACAATTAGAACACTTCTATTTTGGAGGTTCCTGTTTAAGGTCTTTGCGATATCGAGGCAGATTAGTGTCCTTTCAGTTTAAAGTTTCCTCCAAATACAATCCTTTTGGCGGATGGTTCAACCTGGACGACGCCATGCTTGACTTCAGACATTGACTTCAAACAATGATAGCTTCATCTCAAGCAAAATCATACAGTTCGTAGAATCACTTACACTATGTAGATGGATTGATCACTCTCTCAAACATTAAGTTTTCAAACAAACTTGGTTTCTAAAATGAGCATTAGGCTGTAAATTGTCCACTCTGAAACAAAATTTACCGGTTTCTATACTCCTAACTACTCATGGCTCAAAATTTGATCAGTTTTTTTGGTACCCATTTGTAGGCATTCATCTATAGGTGCTGGATTTTTTTCAATAGCTTGAGTGGGTTTTGTTTGCAGCGGCTAAAAGAGCTGTGGTGGATTGATTATTCAGTTGAGAGACACAATATTAATTCCCTACTCTGCTTTCTGAAACTTTGTCCAAGGCTGAGAAGACTCTATGTAACTGTAAGTCTCTCCATTTTCTTCATATAAAACGTTGAGCTTGTAGAGGTGAAACATTTCAATGAGTGTGATGGTAGAACTGACAACATTGCAACCATTTAATGCACAAAGTTTGATATATTCTCTTCAAAACTCTAACTTCATAAAGCAATTGGCACCTTTATTCAAAGCAAGACCAGTAATTATAGCAAAATCAAATGGAACTTGTTCACGGCTTCTGGTAGATGTACCTGAGCTGAAAAAAGAAGGGAACTGTCACGAAAATTTGAAGAGGTCAAAAATCGTCACGAAAATTGGCCTCATCATGTTCATATGAAGCTCTAATTCTCTTCTCTCGTCATGCTTGATTTCTTTGTCTAGAAAGAGTTCAACTTCCTAGGATTTGAGATTAAGGAGTTTATTTATTCAATTATGACTGTTGTATGCTACTCATTGAGATGGGTTTTTGAGGTATGTACGATTAAATTGATCATTCATACAGGTTGATTCTAAAGGCTCTAACAGGACAAGCACAAATAAGTGTTCAGTGACAGTCACGAGGCTTCCAAGATTAGGTCTCAAAGTCGTCAAATTAGAAGGTTTTTTCTTTCCTTTTTTTTTTTTTAAACGAATGGCAAGTTGACGTTTCGTTTGGAGAGAGACTGCGCAAGAGTATGCAACCCATCTCATTTTGTACGGAAGGAGGGCAGGAAGAGCCCAGGCCTGAGATTTACGCGTCAGGACTCTTTTCCAGCTGCTGCGCCACACAAAATCCACACATGTTGATCAACCACAATATCGTTCGACCCAAACCATAAACAGAGGGCTCAGTCATCATTGTTTTACGCATACATGTTCCCAGGCAAATTTCCAGGATTTCCCAACGAAAAAGAGGAGATGTATTCGTTATAAGTGGTTGAAACAGTATTCAATCTGGAACCGTTGATCATAGCAAGTGGGGACAATTCCTCATAAAGACGAAGCAATTATTCTAGCTGTCGCTGTGTGGCTGCTAAGGCAATTTCCGTTTCCCTGCATACATGAAGAAACGCAACAAACAGGGAAATTGTCCAATCTATGCTATTTCAGCATTCCAGCTATGGAAAATAAACTACTTCGAAGAGTGATAAGTATCAAATGATACAAAGTCGGATCAATAAGTAAGGATCAGCAGAGGAGCATCAAAGCAACACCGCTCCAAGAAACCCTATACAGTTACAGACACGGCTAAAAAAAAAAAATCATACAGAAGCAGATCATACAAAGCACCTTGCATCATCGAAGAACAAGAAAGACCCCTTACATCAAACAAAACACTCGAATCGTAACACAACAGCAGAGGATACGGACACCATGCAGTAAATAGAATTACAGTTAATTTCGTAGTTATTAAGAAATATTGATCAGCTACGGTTTCATAAGATGCTACAGCAAGCACAACGAGGAGGTTCGTGTCCAGGTGGATACTCTTCTGAAAAAGGCCGAGGAATCGGTTGAGTTTGTAACTGCTTATTTTCTTTCCGTTGTTCGCAGTTGTTTCGATTATTTGTTGGAACAGGATCATATATTTCTGGAACTGGAACCTCTAATTGGTTAGGAATCCTCTCTTTCATCGGCTTCTTTTGTAAATTAGTATATTCCGATTCTTGATGTGGCGTAGGACATGTGACCAAATCTGAAGGTTGTTTATCGAGATGATGGAGAGTTTCCGGGCTTGGAAGATCATGTTTGTCCAGATATTGTTTTCGACCAACCTGCTCTGGGCTCGGCAATTTCTGGGGACGATGCTCATCTCCATGTTCTTGCCAACGCTGCAGTTGTTGGGGTAAGTACAGGGAAGTTTGATGAGTTGGAGGAAATGCAACTAGAGGCTGAGTATAGTAGGGACCTGGAGAACTATAACTTGACTCATAATCACTAGGTGTTGGAAGACGAGCTTGCAAAGAGGGACAAGATGAACTGTAAGGGATAGAAGCGGGTGATTGGGACGGTAGGGAATTCTCTGGAGCACCATTTCCTAGAGGTGAATGCTTCTTTGGAGGATCAAACATAGGTGGAGTGCTAGCCCTTGAAAGATAAGGGTGATACAGATTTTGAGGATGGCGTCTGGATGCAGAATGAAGTCCCTTTATAACCGTTAGGTTCGAATTATTCTTTTACAGCATGAACCCCTTTGCAACCGTTAGGATCAAAGTATTTTTTTACAGCATGAGCCCCTTCCAGGTTTTACCTTACGGCATGATTAATAAAATTCTTATCTCGACTGAGGAAAAAAAGTATTAACAACTATCAGAGTTTCTGAAGGCTGTGTTGTAAAGCACAGGTTGTTCACTTCATAGCTTGAAACTGATATGAGGTTACAGATCCAACATCTATCAAAACTGCTGTTTGTTATGGGAACAGAAACACCATCCTTATCTTCATGTTTTGCAATGTAAAAAGTGCATTTAAAAGGAAAAAAAAAATTCAAAACATTTAACTTATTGGTTGATGCATGATCTCATTGTTTAAAGAATAAGGTTTGAATAATTTTTTTTTTAATTATTAAAAAAAACAATTATAACTTATTATGTTATTCACTCATAGTTTTCTAAAGTGGTTAGAATAAGAAATAAATATAAACAATGAGAAAAAGTAGTATTTACTAGTTTGTGTTATTAAAATAATAAAAGCAAGTAGTTTGATAATTAAATAATAAAAAAGGTAGTAAATACTACATTTTTGGGTAATCCACAATCATAAAATAGGTAATTTTGTAAAAAATATTAAGTATTAAAGTAATAATAAATTGTAATTTGCTTTGTATATTCATAAATTAAAAATAATAAATTTAATAATAAACACAAGGACAACCTTAAATAGTAACCATTTCATGAACAAGAGAACGTATTCGCACAACATAGTAATACTAATTTGTGTTATTTACAATAACAAAATATGTAATTGGATAAGAAATAAGTGTAAGCATTCTTTTTCAAAAAGAAAAAAGTGTAAGCATTCACATTATATATAATACTACTTTTAGATTATGTATAATAACAAGAAAACGTAAATGTAATCATAAATTGTAACTTTCTTATATTATTAGCAATTAAAAAAATCATAATTTAGCCAGTAATGTTGTTGGATTCCTGGACTTTTCTGATGCCAAAGCAAATCCATTGCTTGGAGCAATCAAAGCAAACAAACAAGAATAAATTCCGGCCTATAAAATATTATATAATATTAAAAAAGTGTTGCTAATTATATTCTCTTCAATCAAATTGAACAATATGTCATCTTTGCTTAAGCCAGCAAAGTGGCGTCACTTTTCTTTTTGAACACCCACCTTTTTAATTTTTTTTTCTGTATTAATATATATTAATATTTTAATATTCTTTTTAGCAAGTCATAATCGTACAAATATCATGCAACCCTCATTTTAGCGTAATACATTATTATACCACGCGAATGCAATGCACGAGCATACTACTAGCCCTATAAAATGAAGTCCCAAAGGAACTCCCAAAATTTGACATGTGGACCCCTTTTGGTATGGCATGTGGAGGCTTGAGGAGGGAACGCATGGCCTGTTGAGGAAGGTTTTATGCACTAGGTTTAGAAATGGGTTTTGGCGTAGGCTTGGGTTACGTGGGCTGCATGCCCGATGATTTTTAATGTCGCACTTGATGCTTCCCGTGAGCGGTGATCCTATTATCCTAGTGTATGCAGGGACGCGTGTGTGGTTGAAACGGGTGCCGTGTTTTTCTTTCTTCTACTTAGCCTCATTTTCCGTTTGTTCCTGAATATTCTTTTCCCCATCTTTTCTCCTGTTTGTGTGATAAGCATATCGACCAGTATTCCATGGTTCTGGGATATGTTCTAATACTTGTAAGTGATGAAGGGAATTGTTTTGTTCTCTCATTATTAATGAAAGCACTCTTATGATTTTCAATATATATATATATATATATATATGTCCTACCAAAATTTCATAATGGATGGAATGGAAAGTAGATGTGGAAGACACAGGCATGGACAGACAGACATACAATGGAGTGGTGTTAAATGACACAATTAAAGTGTCAAAAATTCCAACTAATTATGTTATTTATGTTAGAGTTTTATATAATTAATAATATTAATAAATTTATTAATTTTTTTTATAATTTTATAAAAAATGAGATCAAAGATTTGAAATCAAAGTAAATTTAATTATGAGTCAATTCTAGATACAGAGATGATGCCACATTTATAATTAATACATAGGATCAATCACTTAGTCAAGAAAGGTAAAAAGCTAATTGGCTTGAGTTTTAAGTTTTCCAGATTCTCATAAGCTTGCATCAAAAGTTCTTTCCACATTAACTTAATTATTATTTTAAACATTGTCGTATTCATCTTTAATCAACACTACATGAATGTTGTGCGTGCAAATTTTATATATTTTTAAAAAAATTAATGTTGGGATAACTTTTAAACAATTCGACTTTGTTGGAGTAAAATTTGATTTGCATAATTTTGAATTGTTTTCTAAAAAAAACATTTGAGCTTAATAAATTCTTTACAATCAAAATTATTTGTTAATAGTATTCAACTCAAGTATCTACATTTTTCATTTCAATTTTATAACTAATGTTTAATTGTTGAAATCAGGTAAAATAAATTAAGCAATTAAATTTGAACAGGATTGAATTTCTATTGTATTTATCATTTTTTATTATTATTTTGACGTTATTTCTGGTGGATTATATTCTGTCTTCTCCGAATGTGAAGTTTTGTAAACTACTGATTCTTAATAAAAGGTACTTATTCGAGCAAATATTATATATATATATATATATTTAATCTTTTTTTCTTTGAATAATCACAAACTTTTATTTAACAAAAAAAGCCAACAGGCTGCTACAAAGACAAGATGCAATTAACAGCAACAAAACAAACAACAGCAATAAAGGAACTAATATTATTGTGTGGAAAAGAAAAAGGCATTTTTCGACAACAACTACAGGGAATAACAGTTGAACAACCAGCTGGAACATGTATTTTTCGATGCGATCATCAGCAACCTCTGTGTCTGCTTGCAGCACCAGAGCATCGTGCCTCTTTACTCAGAAAAAAGAATGTTTTATACATATCCAGTGGACAATATAGTTACATCCTGTCTCTGCACACTCAAGAGCTAGATCTTGGCAAGGCTTACAGCATATATGACATTCTGGATAATGATAAACCTTTCGAACAAATACGAGGGGCCGGTGTGAATGATCTCCTTCCTCATAGGTAGTCCCTGGCTTGATAAATGGGTATTCTCGGAGAACACAGTCGAGATGAGCAGAACTATCGCAAATTGTACAACTGTAAAACCAACTTTTTAAGTTTCTACTTTCTTCACAAATGTCACAATAACGATGTTGTGGATAGGCATTATCTTCATGGTAAGTGAGTTTGAGGGGGTGTTCATCACACTTGTGCCGAGCAATGTGCGGTAGCTTAAGACATTTATCATGCAAAGCAAAGTTGCAATCACTGCACCAATATGGCACCATGGATCTTTTACCACAAGCATTACACTCCGCGTATTTGTTCTCATAAAAGACTAGTCGGTGCTCATGTCCTTCAGATGCGTGGTCAGAAGAAACTAAAGCACATCGAAGGCAGATATAACTTTTGCAAAATCCACATTTGTAGGCGAATCCACTGCACTCATAGTCACACACCCCACATACGAAAATGAAATCTGAAATAAGGGTAAGGGGACTTTGGTGAATGTGAAACCAGAGCCTCCTCTTCCTTGGTACTTCAGCGCAAGATTTGTGGAGGAAGAAATCACATTGTGAACAGTGGTAATAAGGTGCAGAGATGAACAAAATGCAACCATCACAACGTTTATCATCCTCAATGTCGTCACTTAATACTAAATTGTGTTGATGGCTGAAATGTCTTATCTCTGTAGCTATCGCATTATTTCCAACCTTGCTCTCCTTAATAACAGAAATGACTGAACCCAAAGATTGTTCACCTATTTCTTTTGATTCATCAAACATGTACGATTTATAATCCTCAATTGCACAATTGACATGGCAAATATAATTGCAAGAAGAACAATAGTAACTCCCGTAATCTGTGTTCACCTTACCATCACAGATTCTGCATCGCTTCATTTTCAACCCATCTTCTCCAAGGAAATAGATGTGGCTAATGGGGTGTTTATGCCTTGGAAGATTGATAACAATAGGCAATGAAATGCATTTCCTATGGACTGTAAGGCCACATGTCAAACAAATGTAGGATATGCAATTGCCCGGAATGCCGCATGCATCACAAAAGAAAGGTCGTTGTTTCCAAAATAAGTTGAACGGGTGTTGATGGCTTTCGTCTTCAATAACAGGTGGAGGTGAGATGCATTCAACGTGGAGAGCAAGTTTGCAACTTGAACAACAATAAGAAAACGGTTTAGGGGTTTCTTGGCAGTTCTGGCAAGGAAAATTTTCAGAATTGAATTGTAGAATAAAAGGATGACTACGGTGATAAGGGACATTGATTTCAATAGGTATCTCAGCACATTCAATATGAAGGGCAAACTTGCAGTTTAAGCAACGATAAACAAGTCCCCTTGGCCTTTTTCGGCAAATCTGGCAAGGTAGACGTGTACCATTAAACTGTAAAAAAAGATTGCGATAATGAAAAGAAAACCAACGAGGACGTGGCTGGTGTAGAGAGTGATTGATTTCAAGAGGTAGCTCAGCACATTTCTTATGCAGGCAAAATCCACAATCAAGAGAAAAGTATGCAGAATCTAATAATGGTTTCCAACACCCATAGCATTTAGCATTTTTGAGTTCTTCATTTGGACTTTCAGTGGATATCAAGGGATCTATGTGCGCAATGTGGTCAACCTCTTCAAACTTCTTTTCAGCAATTTTATATGAAAAGGAAGCACAATCAAGGTGAAGGCTTAGTCCACAAGAGCATTGATAAACAAAATTCTTGCATAATTTGTCACAGAAACAGCAAAGGCTTGTACCTTCGTATGGTGGACTTGATAGAAGTTTAAAGTTGTGGTTGCGATCACGATGAAAAGGGTGATTAATTTCAGAGGGTACCTCGGCACATTTCTTGTGGAGGTAAAACCGGCACTCCATACAGCTGAAGCTTGGACCTGACACCACCTTCCCACAGCCAGAGCAACAAGCGTACTCATCACTTTCATGGCTTGGCTCTTCTTTGAAAATCAGTGCATGTTCATGACTAAAATGTTTTAGTTGAAGTTCCATCTCTCCTTTCGTTTCGTTTCTATGTGAGTTTGTGAGTGAGATAAATGCTCTTATGGAAGCCTAAGCTTATGGTCCACATATATATCATTTCACTGGAAGAAGATGACAAATTGGACATAGAAGAACTTCTTTGCCACTTCTTTCTTTCTTTTATTTATTTATTTTTTTTGTAATATGGGTAGGGTATCCAGCCTTTGTCCAAATCTAATCTTTCTTTTCCTTTGCTTTCTTAAAAGTAATAGTACTCTTAACTTTTAATGTGAGGTATGTTTCTTAACAGCTTTACTCTTTATACTCTTTGTGATCCCTATAAGCTTTTTCTTCAAATTAATTCATCTAACTGCATTAAGTTAAACAAGCTGGGAATAATCCACATAATGTATTTTAGGTGTCAAAACTAATAACTATTACCAAGTTGAGTTTGAATATAAAAAATAATGCAATATAATGTCTTGGATTTATTATTCCAAGGTTAATCACAGTAGATTATTGTAGAAAAATATTTCAAAATGCGACACCAAGTATTTATTCACAACTACAATGCACTCTATTCAGAACTAAAATTAATTATTAGGAAGAACCCTGAACTTTATTAATACGAGGACACATAATTAGGTTGATAGGAAATATACATAGTTTACATATTTGTATATTAAAAAGATTAATTTGACATTTAATATAATTTATATAGAGAAAGTGTACATAGATAGGCCATCTCGAAGTGGAAAAAGAAAAAAAAAGATTAAACAAAACAAAAGGAGATAAGGGAATAAAAAGAAGAAAATTAAAGAAAAAGAAGAGAAAGGAGAAGAAGAACTTTACCTTATTCTCCTCTCGTTTATCTTGTGTAAAGAAAAAGTAACCAATATGGTCAAGAAAATTAAATTCATCAAAGCTATAGTAGGATATCAGCATTTTCTTTTTATCTTTTTTTTTTTTACTTTTCAAAAGTAACATTAGAGATAATGTAACATTTCCCCAGCAAGTTATGTCTTTCCTTCAACGCGTACTTATAAATTTTTTAAATAAGGCAGAAATAAGCATCTCTATTACTTTTTTGGAAAGAGAAAAAATTTTTAACAAAAATTGTTTGAGATTTACTTTCAAATTCTTGGATCAATTATTAAGTGGAAAACGTCTACTCTTGTTAATCTTATTTAATTTTAGAATAAATTATAGAAAAATGTATACTTTTGTGTATGAAATGGAATAAATTTTCCCTCTGAAATTTAATTTTGGACACTTAATTTAAGTACCCTACGCATTATTTCCCTGAACATTGGATAAAACATTTGCATGAAGTACATGATAAATTTAGAAAATAGGAACTAGAAAATAGAAACTAAGGATTCTTTCATCCATTGATTTTTTTTCTTTCATACAATCATGCTACTATTTGCAATTATATATATTGATACTCTTCATTCATAATCTGCTGAGGAAAATCTTCAGATTGATCCTAGCAGCTATGGTGTAGTTGACAGAGGTATTTTCAGCTGAACCACTGATTAGAGGAAAGTCAGATCGAACTTGCTTGCCGCTTCTAGTACCCGAGAAGAAGAAGAAGAAAGGGAAGTTTCCATACAAGTTTAAACAAGGAGTTGAAAATCTTCCTGAAGTATGCCTTAGTCATATCCACATGGACTTATAGTAGCTATAAAGTTTCAGCTTGTGCTTAAATTTTCTCTGCCAAAAGAAAAGCATGAAGATAAGATCAGTTCTCTGTTTGAATTTGAAAGTACTTCTTAATTTTAAAGTGAAGATGATTGTTTGATTAGTAGAAATTTTCTTGAATGCTAAAGGGGAAGAATGAATGTTGTTGGACAGTCTTTATACTTAAATTCAATGTTTGTTTTTAATATGAAATTTGGATCATGACCATGTTGATGTAAACTTACAATTTTACATTTCAAAAGTAGTCAGCATAATCAACCTGTAGCTGCTGCCATACAGAGATTCAAGAAGCTGTAGAAGAACAAGCATAAATCATTTGTTCAGTGAGAGTCACAAGCTTAGAAGAACTCAAAGTTGTGAAATTAGAAGGATTTTCCAATGAAAAGGAGGAGAATGTATGAGCTAAGAGGTTGAAACAGGTATTCAATGTAGAACCATTGATCATTGCAAAGTCAAATAATAATAGGAAATCTGGTATAAAAATCTGGACTGCAAACCAGTCAATCGTTTATAACATTAGATCGAATTCATATACGATGGAACTTGAATTTAGAATCTAAAAGTTTCGAGAGCTCTCGGATTCCACCTCTATCATAATTATATAAAATCAATGTGGATGGTGTGGTATATTGAAATTTCAATAAACAATACAAGAAATTCCCTTAGCATGCTTATATTTATTTATTTATTATGTTTGTGTGTGTATATATTAGAGCTAAATTTTAGCCAAATTTTAACTAGCAAAGACATTGACACAATAATTATTAAGGATGAAAAAAATGTAATTAAAAGTCTAAACAGAATAGTTTTTATGTCTTTGTGGGCTAACTCGGGATTCTGTTCTTACTTCCTAGGTGATGAAGATGACCCTTGTCTTGTTCTAATTATGACTTTTTTTATATGGAGTCTTTGTCATGAAAGCTCATTGTTATTACCGCATATATAGTTTTTAATAGCCAAGTGGCAAGACCATACAAAGGGTTCTAATTTCTCACAAAAGGGAAGCAAAGATCCATGGGAAAGAAGAATAGGAACAGAAAGAAGTATCAATGGAGGAAGAAGCTTGGTCTAGATGATCCAAAGGTGTTCAGAAGCATTGAAGATGACACTAACATAAGAAATATTTCAGTTGCTATAAAGTAAGTAGCTGTTTTTTCTTTTCATCTGAATTTTACTAGTGACATACAAAAGAATTAATAATCTAATTTTCATTCAGGAATTTGAACTTTGAACAAAGAAATGATGATGTTATCAGTAGTTTGCCAGATGAAATCCTTTGCCATATCATTTCTTTTCTCCCCTTTAAGTCTGCTGTCCAAACAAGTTTTCTTTCCACCCGATGGAAAGATCTCTGGAGGAAGGATTTTTTGGTAAGACATGGAACCATAGATGATGCTTTCATTGAAATTTCAAGCTTCCTCCATGATTTTTCTGATGAATTATCATATAAACCCAGAAATAGCTGGGGGTTCCAATTCAACCTTGGCAAAAGCAGCGTTCTCTCAGTAGCTATTGAACCTGATAAAAAACTACACCTTGATTTTTCTAAAGTGAAACATGAATTCCCATGGCAGTTTGATTGGTTGTTAGAGATTAATTTCCCAACCTATGATGACATTCATTTTGTTTGGTGGTTTGCTCGAATTCGGAAAATGCATACCCTCCAATCGTTACTCTCTACATTCAAATTAAAAACCCTTCATCTAATCTCAGTAACTTATCTTACTAGCGAGGCAGTTTCCTCTATGACAAAGAATATCAAATACCTTGAAAGCTTGACCATAGAAAAATGCAATGGCTTGCGATCTTTACAGATAAAAGCAAGTGGTTCAGAGCTTAAAAAGTTAACCATCTTGGATTGCCAACAATTACAGTTTCTACATGTTGAGGGTTATAGTATAAGGTCATTCCGATATCGGGGTAGACTACTGTCTTTGCAATGGGGTGCCTCCCTGGGCTCGTATTGGCCTGAATATAAGGGTCATTTAAACTTCAACCTGGAAGATGCCATGCTTGATTGCAGACAAGGTCCGGCCTGCACCAACATCAATAGTTGTGGCTTTGACTCACTCTTTCAGCAAATACAAGATGCTAAATCTCTTACACTATGTAGATGGGTTGTCGAGGTATGTTTCTTCTGGATATATGTACAATATACAAACTCAACCTATAATAAAGTTTGCTTCACTTATAGCCTTGGCACTTTTCTAATTTTTTTTTTCATTTTTTCCTATTTTAGGCATTGATCTACCCAATTCTACCCCCTAATAATAAGGAGCTACTTTTCCACCACCTAACAGAGTTGTGGTGGATTGATTATTTAAAGGAAATTAGATACAATAGCAATGCCTTGATCTCCTTCTTGCAGCTCTGTCCTCACTTGACCAGACTCTGTATCACTGTAAGTGTTTTTTTTTTTTTTGCAATTTAATTCTTCATGCATTGACATTATTAATATAATGGACCTCTTGCCAATGGACATTAATAAACTTTTCTTTTGATACATTGGCGATTGGTGTCCAATTATGAATTGCTAAGTTTTCTTTCTTTTTTTTTTTTCTATCATGGAAGAGAATTCATAATAATTAAGCTAATTATGACAATATTGTTGTAATGAGTGATTAATTAGCATTTGCTACCACACAATTAACCATCTGCTGCTAATCAAATCATACAGATTGATTCTAAAGGCTACAAAAGAACAAGCTCAAACAACTGTTCAGTGACAGTCACTAGGCTTCCAAGATTAGAAGGTCTCAAAGTTGTCAAATTAGAAGGATTTCCCAACGAAAAAGAGGAGATTATATTGGCTAAACGGTTGAAACAGGTATTCAATGTGGAACCATTGATCATAGCCAAGTCAAATTATAGGACTCATGTGCGGATTCTGGTAAAAGAAAATGAGATTCAAAAAGGAGGGGAAGATCCATGCAAGTTTATTGAGAAAAGAGTTGATTTTTATGAATTTTGCCCTAAACATGTTCACATGGGCCTTTAACAGCAAAAAATTTTGACTTAGTATAATTTTCAATCTTGTATGTTTTCAGGTTTTTAGATTTTTTTTTTTTGGTGTGCATAAGCTCATTTGATCCTGAGGATCTTTTTTTTTTAGAAGTCTAATGGAGAATAAGTTTGGCTATGAGTAATAAGAAGAAATAAGCTTTGTCTGTTCCCTTTTTCTTGTAGGCATTGATTTTCCTTATGCTACCAAAAATTTTTATTGGGCGCATTGATTACTCAAAGGAGAGATATGATACTAATGCCTTAATCTGCTTTCTGAAACTTTGTCCTCACTTGACCAAACTTTTTGTCTCAGTAAGTTTTTTGCATCTTAAAATTTTCAATAATGGCATTACTAGAAAAAGGTTGACATACAAGATTTCAATTGTGGAAGTTTTCTCAATGTTTTCAAAGAAAAGATACCCCTATACTGGTCCACCAAATAGATACTTGTTATATATGGGATTGTACTACATGGTCCAAATTCCGACAAGGATAAACGTAAATAATTACAATGTATGTAAATAATACAGTTTTTTGACATAGAGATATACGTATCTTATTCAAATTATTTGATTATTCAGATGATTATATTTTTGGATTCCTTGTTATTTCCCCTTACAATATTACTCTCTAAAGTCTTTATAAGTAACCAGTTACTAATCTCAACCCTATAGATTGATCCTAAAAGCTATATATAAAAGGACAAACAAAAAGAAATATTCAGAGAGAGTGATAGGGCTTCCAAGATTAAAAGATCTCAAGGTTGTGAAATAAGAAGGATTTTCAAATAAAAAAGAAGAGATTATATTGGCAAGGAGGCTGAAACAGGAATTCAATGTGGAACCAATGATATGGCCAAGTCAAAATTACTCTTGGGGGGAGAGAAATTGATAAGAAACGTTCTTGCAATCTCCATAAATTGTGCTTAATTACTTGGTTTTATTATCGACTTGGCAGTGCATATTTTTCACCAAGGGAAATTGATAAGAAATTCCCTTTAAATCAGAGAATTCATGAGCATCAAGTGAATTTGGCAGTGCATGCACCAAGCTTTGTTTTGTGTATTGATGTTAGGAAGACATCCTAATCCAAAAGTACTTAAGGAATCATAGAATTACTCCCCCAATCTCCGGCCATTAATTCAGTTCTTGAATGGACTTTGAAATGAATGATGAGAGATGGAGGAATGAAGGGGAAGTGAATCGAAACCGGCTGGAAGGTGACCATGTTTCAGTATTGTTTCAAGGGATGTATTAAATGGTCCGAATTTAAAGAGGGAAAAACAAAAATAATGTGGTCTTTTGTAAGTAATGCAAATTTTAAAGTTTTCCTTTTTGTTATTTAAAATGAGAAAAAGAAAAAAAAAGAGAAGAAATAAATATGGTTAGGTCTCATTTCTTGTGTACACATCAGCTTTAAGAAAGCTCAATGTCAATGTCAAAGGTTTTCCTTTTAACAAAGTCAAGGTCCATTAAATAGGTGAAACTTCCTTTCAATTGTATAACAACATTTTTATATGGAAGTCTTTGTCAAGAAAGCTTAATGTCATTGCCTCATGTCTTTTTTTAATAGCCAACTAAGGATCACTAAAAATGCTCTTATTCCACAGAAAGTTGAAGGCAAATCCATGGGAAAGAAGAGTAGGAACAAAAAGAATCCATGGAAAAGGTAGCTAGATTCAAATCTTAATTCTTTTTTTTTTCTCTTTTGGATTCCATTAGGAACCACATAAAAGCAAGTTGAATCGATCGATTCCATGTGAGAATAATCTGAATTTTGGTGCAGGAATATGGATTTTGAACAAAGAAATGATAATACCATCAGTAGTTTGCCAGACGATATCCTTTGCCATATCATTTCTTTTCTTCCTTTCAAATCTGCTGTCCAAACCAGTTCCTTTCAACGAGATGGAAAGACCTGTGGAAGAGGAACTTTTTGGTACTGAAAGGAACCATGGGTGATGCTTTTATTGCAATTTCAAGCTTTCTCAATGAAGTTTCTGATCAATCCCACCAGCCAACAAGCAACTGGGGGTTCCAATTCAATCTTGGCAGAGGCAGTTCCCTCTCGGTAACTGTTGAACCCGGTAAAGCACTTCATCTTGACTTTTCCACTGTCACGCATGAGTTTCCATGGCGGTTTGATTGCTTGCTGGAGATAAACGGCTTCAGCTACAAGGACTGGTTTGGTTTCTTGTGGTTACACTATCGAAATCGCCAAATCCACACTCCCCAACCTTCACCCTTTACATTCAAAGTAAAATCTCTCCTTCTAATATCAGTTAGTTACCTTTCTAGTGGGGCAATTTCTTCAATGATATCGATTTTCAAGTTACTGGAAAGTTTGACAATAGAAAAATGCAATGGTTTGCGATCTTTACATATAAAAGCTGGCGATTCGGGGCTTAAAATTTTAACCATCTTGGATTGCCAACAATTAGAATCCCTCCAATTTAAGGGTTACAATTTACAGTCCCTTCGATACCGAAGCAGATTAGTATGTTTTAAATGTGGTGACAATGACTCAGCATTCTTCTGGGTTTGGCCTTGGTTTAGGTCTTTTCGGCTGGATGATGCCATGCTGGATTTCAGACAAGGCCCTGCCTACAACAGCATCTTTAGCTGTGGGTTTAAATCAATCCTTCACCGCATTAACGGTTTTAAATCTCTTACACTTTGCAAATGGGTTTTCGAGGTATGTTTCAATCATATGCCTATTCCATATAATATACTATAAAATTTCGATGTACCTAACCTTAGTCTTTTCCTTTTCTTTTAGGCATTGATCTGCCCAATGCTACCATCACCCCCTTTCTGTTGGGAACTCGGCTTCCACCAGCTAACAGAGTTGTGGTGGATTGACTATTCAAAGGAGAGATATAATAGCAATGCTTTGATCTCCTTTTTGAAACTTTGTCCTCGCTTGAGAAGACTATATACCACAGTAAGTTTTTTCACAGCAACTTCAATGTTATGAATTGGATATCATTGCATTAATATGTATATGTAGCCAAAATATTATAACTTTCCCAAGTCACCTTCATAATTCACCTGCTGCAAATCAATGTACCTCACAGATTGATCCTAAAAGCTATAGAAGGACAAACAAGAACAACAATTCAGTGAAAGTGATCACAAGGCTTCCAATATTGGAAGATCTCAAGGTTGTGAAATTGGAAGGATTTCCAAATGAAAAGGAAGAGATTATGTTGGCAAAGAGGTTGAAACAAGAATTCAATGTGGAACCACTGATTGTAGCCAAGTCAAATTATTTGAATTGTGTGAGACTTCTGGTAAAATCACCTGAGGAGCTGCTAAAGGAAGGGAGAGATGCATACAAGTTTATAGAGACAAGAGTTGAACATTCGTATGATTTATGCCCTCAACATGTTCACATGAGCTTCTAAGTGCAAAACATGTAACAAAGCATGTAACACCTGATAACAGCAAATCAATTGATGATTGAGTTTCGAACCTCATTAGCTGATATTTTAGACAAAACAGAGGCGGTAAAAAGGCAAACCTGCTGTTAGCACCAAGTATAGGGGAAGACAAAGTATGATGGCTTAGGAACTGTTTTTATATCGGTGCTTTTAATGTCCAAAGCTCTGGAAACGTTTTGCTTCAATCCGGAGGAAATGAAGTTTCAGCTTCTGTGTTATGGTTACAGGTATATTGGCTTGTCTTGTGTTCTAATCCTTGCGCTGATGGTAACGTACAGCTGACATGCTTCTGCTTCTAGGGTGCAGAAACCGGACGGTGTGATGATTTATGTCCCGATTGCTTGTACCAATTTGTACCAATTGTAATCTTCTTAATAATAGAATATGATAGCAATGCTGAATTTTTTTCAAGATTCTCATCATTTCCTTGTGACTCGTTAAATTTGTACCAATTGTAATCTCCAATGCAACAATTCACATATAAGTCTTAAATTGTAATTTGATTAAGATAATTTAAATTTGTATGTCTGGTTAAGTAAGTCTTTAAATCTAATTAGACTATAATAATAAATCCTAATTGTATTTATTTTTTTGAATAGCAATATATGCTAATTGTATTTTTTTTTTAAATAGCACCATATCCTAATTGTATTAAAATAAGATTATTGTATTTGGGTCTATAAAAGGATATTATGGGATTGAAAAATAGTGAAACACCTAGATTTAGAGAATATTTTAATGTACGAGGGATAAATCGAATCACGTCAACTTTTGTAATTTTGTGTGTGCCTAATTTCTTTCTTTCTTTATTCTATTGGACTGCACTGGTCGATCAATCTGTTTGACTGCACTGGTCGATCAATCTCTTTTGTTCTAATCTATTGCAGATAGAGTCTGAAATCCGAATAGCATCAGTACGATATGGAGGATGGATTAGAAGCCCCAGGCCCGCTATGGAAGATTATAGTGGTTGCAGCCATAGCCGCCGGCGTACAGTTTGGATGGGCACTGCAGCTCTCTCTTCTAACCCCTTACGTTCAAACCCTTGGTGTCCCTCACATCTGGGCTGCTTTCATTTGGCTTTGCGGCCCCATCTCTGGCCTCCTCGTGCAGCCTATTGTAGGCTACAACAGTGACCGTTGCACCTCTCGCTTCGGTCGTCGCAGACCCTTTATTGCAGCTGGAGCCTGCTGTGTTGCTGCAGCTGTTTTCCTCATTGGTTTCGCCAAAGATATAGGCCACAAAGCTGGTGATTCACTGGAAAAAACCACAAAACCTAGAGCCGTTGCTGTCTTTGTTGCAGGTTTTTGGATTCTCGACGTGGCTAACAACATGTTACAAGGTCCATGTCGTGCTTTGCTTGCTGACCTTTCCGCAAATAATCATAAAAGAATGAGAGTTGCGAATGAATGCTTCTCCTTTTTCATGGCTGTTGGAAACGTTTTGGGTTATGCGGCTGGTTCCTACTCAAATCTTCACAAAATCTTCCCTTTCACAAGAACAACTGCCTGTGATGTTTACTGTGCGAACCTTAAAACTTGCTTCATTATTCATATTGTTTTCCTCTTGTTGGTGACAATAACCGCGATTACCAGCGTGAAAGAGACGCCACTAAGCATGAAGCAAGAAGAAGAGAAAGCGTCTACGCCTTTTGTTGGGGAGTTATTGACAGCATTCAAGACCTTGAAGAAACCGATGTGGATCTTGCTTCTTGTCACTTGCCTTAACTGGATGGCCTGGTTCCCATTCTTGTTGTACGATACGGACTGGATGGGGAGGGAGATTTACGGAGGGTATGTGGACGGAAATGCGACTCAACAGAAGCTGTATGATGATGGAGTACGGGTGGGTGCGTTGGGTTGATGATTAACTCGATTGTTTTGGGTTGTACTTCCTTGGGCTTGGAGAATGTTGGGCGCTTGGTTGGTGGGGTTAAAAACTTGTGGGGTGGGGTGAATTTCATCTTGGCTGCATGCTAGGCTTCCACGGTGTGGATCACCAAGATAGTTGAGGCTTGGAGAGATAAACATGGACTCTTGGCCCCTCCAAACAACATCAAAGGCCCTGCCTTGGCTATATTTGGATTGTTGGGTATTCCGCAAGCGGTTACTTACAGCATTCCATTCGCTTTGGCATCCATCTATTGCTCTACTTCTGGCGGTGGTCAAGGGCTAGCCCTGGGAGTGCTCAACATGTCAATAGTTATCCCACAGATGTTCATATCAGTGGTTAGTGGACCGCTCGATGCAGCATTTGGGGGCGGTAACTTACCAGCCCTTGTATTGGGCTCCATCGCGGCTGCCATTAGCGCTTTATTGGCAATATTCGCCCTTCCAAATCCACCACAAGTGTCTCTCAGTCCAGCAATGGGTGGAGGACACTGAGCAATTGGCCTTGGGTCATCAATATAGTAGGATAGTTGATTTTATATCTTTGTAATAATAATTTCATTCGAGGATGCATGTAAGTTTTGAGAATGACACAATTTTCGTTGTAAGTTTATCAAAATTTTACCTATAATAATACTATAGGAATTTTAACCCCTTTTTTATTTCTCTATATGCACGTAATCTCTCTCTGTTTCCCTTTTTCTTTTTTCTTTTTAACAAATAACAGTCTAACTTTTAAATGGGAGATTCATTTCCTATTTGGTTGAGGGACAGGATAAAGAAATATTTTGATTATTGTAAATAACAAATAAGAATATTTCTAATTAGAACCAAGAATTTATGCACATCTATTTCATAGTGTATAAGTGTATATGGTATCGCCACTCAATAGGAACCCCAAATTCAGCACCCCCACTTAAAATTTGAAATATATATAATAAAGTAAATTTTCATGTTTTCTTTTTCTTCTTCTTCTTCTTCTTTTTCTCTTTTTTACCTACTCTGTCCTTTTTTCATTATTTTATCCTTTTTCCCACTACAAGGTGATCTATCCACTCTTTCTCCATATAAATTAGATATTGGTCATTCTTTTATAATACCTTAGATATTTGCATTGAAAATCTTGGATTATAGTTAATTGTGGAAATTATTTGAAATAAGCAATAATCGACTGCCTTCATTTTGAATTGAGAAATGCCTTTAATTCCTTTGCAATTGGAGCTATTTAACTTCCCACTAAAGTGAATGAAAGGCATGTAAATTAGATTCTTGTTCATAAAAGCACCATGAAACTAAATTTCACACTAGATATTCTACTTTTTTTCTTTTGTTTTCCCTTTAATTAGCCGTTTCTTTATCCCTTTCTGACTTTTTGGTCTATTGGAAAGGTATCAACATTCTCAGCTCTTTCTCTTTAATCTTTTCCTTAAAGCAATATATATATATATATATATATATACATATATATATATATATTCTCATTCTCTTTTCCTTATCTAATTTTTCTTTATTTTTTTTGGCCTTCTTGGAATACAATTGGAGAGAGTTTAATAATTACTGGAGAGTTTGAATACTCTTAAGATGATTTTATTAAGAAGTCACTATGTGTTTATATACAAGTTTCATTATCAATACAAAACGAAAAAGAATCTATGCAATAAAGATGAATTCCCTAGATCAAGGTAATGTTTTATGACCAAGCTTATAATTAAGGAAAATCATAATTACAATAATTAAGTCAATTGGAATGTCCAAGTCAAACCAAATCAGGCCTTCATTAAGAAATCATATCAATCACGGCAAACTAGAATCTCTAATTGAGATAACTTTCATTAATTACTTTCAAAACATTAGAGTATTTTTTTTTTGAACATACCATTTTGGATTATTACGCAATAAGAAATAGTCCTCTCTAATCCTATAAATTTCACTGTTGTTTCTCACAGTTTAAACAAGATATGCACCGAGAAAATCACAAGAGTACAATGGCTATATATAATTTACACAGCCAAAATATTGGCTGCAAAAAAAAAGAAAAAAAAATCTACCATTTAAACAACCATACATTGAATCTAATTGAATTGTTTTGAAAACCAGGAGCCATCAAAGCTTTAGAGTTCACTATAATTGTTTTTCAATAAAGATAAATGAATGTTCCCTCTCTTGAAAAATTTCATGAATATCATATTAATGCACATTTCTACAAAAGTTAGTGAGTCCCAATATTTGGATGCTACAGAATTTACTTATCTATGTAAGGCTACTATAGAAAATGCAGTAAAAGGTATATATAATCTACTCTGGAAGGAAAACAGAAAAGTATTCAATATTTTTTAAAAAAAAATGTTGTAAATAATTTATATTGTTGATATATTTTAAGAGTCAAAACTAATCAATATGGTATACTGAGAGTTGAGTTTTGAATATAAAAGTGCATTAATGTTAATACCTCCAATTTAAGGATTTTTCAAAAAGCAAAACCAAAATTTATTCACAACTAAATATTCCACTCTCTATGGAATATGGAGTAAATAATGTCAATTAATTATCGAAAACAACATAAACAAATTAACATGTTAGGGACCCAATTGGACAAGTCAGCAGCATCCATCTCGAATTAAAATTTGAAGTACATAGTACATATATATATTTATATTAATAAAAATGCTTAATTTCATGATTCACGAGCATAAAATTTTATATCAACAATGAATAGTGTGTTAATATATATATATATGAGAAATTTCACTAAAAATAAAAGGTGAAAGCATTTTTTTTATTTTTACTTTTCAAGAGTAACATTAAGTTAAGATGCTCCAACTTTTGGTATTCATTAACTTTTGAAATAAGGAAGAAGAAGTAGCCATATTTATTGTTTTTAGAAGAAGATAGATAAAGTTTCACTACTTTTAATTTCCTCAAATCCAATTGTTGAAGCATGTTATAGTCTAGTTAACTAGTCTGCTCAGGAAAATTAAGAATAAGAAAAGAAAATGTCGACAATAGTTTTGAAGCATGTAAAATTGTAACAGCTCTTAACATCTTGTAAAGAATGTGTTAGAGTCAGAATAAAATAAGAAGATATCTATTCAAATTTCAAGTGATCATAGCAAACCAGATAAATTGCTTTAGCCAAACAACAGAGAATCATAAAAGATACAAGAAAATGCTCACTTATACAAATATGATCACATATTGTTTTTAATTTGAAAGAAAAAAAAAAGATCTTCAACATCACATGATTAAGATCATGGAGTGACTTTATTCAAACATTTTGGAAATTTCAAATGATAAAGAAGTATGAATAGTTTAAAAACAACCCGCTGAAGAAATCGCATTTTTGGTTGCGATCATCAGCAACCTCTTTCTCTGATGGCCATCAGAGCAACAATATTTACTGTGCCAATTCAATAAAGTCTGAGTCTTTTTGGCTACAACTCCAATGGATAATATAGTTGCATTCTGCACACTCAAGAGCCAGATCGGAGCAGGGCTGACCACATTTACAACATTCAGGGTAAAGATAAAGCTTTTTCACAAAAACAAGAGAGTGTAGATGATTTGTTTCTGTGAAGATCCTTCTCCCGAGCTTGATCAATGGGCAATTTCCAAGAACACATTTGAGATGAGCTGACTTGTCACAAATTGTACAGTGATAAAACCAGATGTTGGGGTTTCTTCTTTCTTCACAAATGTCACAATAATGATGTTCTAAACAATCATTATCTTCATGGTATGTGAGCGTGAGATGATGTTCATCACATTTGTGCCTAGCTGTTTGTGGTAGCCGAGTACATGTAAAATGCAAATTAAAATTGCAACCCTTGCATCTGTATGCTGCCTCATCATCAATACTGCCACCACAAGCATTGCACTGCCCATTATACTTGAGGTAAAAGGAAAGGAGGTGCTCCTTGTGTCCTTGACTAGTGCAGGAAAAAGGAAGTTCACCACACTGAAGGCAAACATACGTGGTCAAAGATACTCTGATGGCTTTGTAGGCAAAACCAGTACGATTGGACCCACAGACTCCACAAATGAAAAAGCAATTTGGAGTAAGCATAAGGGAAATCTCAGGAAAAGGCCGATATGGCTTCTTCCTGGGTAACGCAGCGCATGATTTATGGAGACAAAAATCACATTCTGAACAATGATAAAAAGAACTCTCGATGAGTAGACTACAACAATCACAGCATTTGTCATCCCTTAGTTCATCATATAACACTAAATTGTGTTCATGACTGAAATGTTTTATCTCTGTATGTGTCACATTTTCTCCAAGTTTGATCTCTTTAATGACAAGAAAGGATGGATCCACCAGCGTTGGATTTTCATTGAGCTTCTCATAAACATCTTTTGACTCAATTTCATAATAATAATTAGTATCCTCTAGAACACATTTCACATGGACAATAAACTTACACTCAACACAATAGTAACTCCCATACTCTTTGTTCACCTCCTCATGACAAATTCCACATTCTAATATTCCACACTCATTTTCTACAACAAAATAGTGGTGGAAAATAGGATGGTGATGCCATATGCTTTTGATTATGGGCAGTAATGAAATGCAGTTCTTGTGGACTAGAAGGCCACATGTCGAGCAAATATAAGAAGCATAATTTCCTGACGTGCCACATGCACCACAAATGAATGAAAATCGTCTTAAACACCTAGTGAATGAGTGTTCATGACTACAATCTTCAATAAAAGGTGATGGTGACACACATTCAATGTGAAGGGCAACCTTGCACATTGAACAACAGTAAACAAATCCCCTGACTTGGGTTTCTTGGCATATCTTGCAAGGGAGACTATCACTATTAAACTGTAAAAAAAGAGAATGTTGGTAGTGGCAAAGGTGATTGATTTCAAAGGGTAGCTCAACACATTTCTTATGCAGGCACAATTCGCTATCAAAAGAAAGGCATGGAGAATCTAATAATGGTGTCCAACATACAAAGCAACAGGCGTATTTGAGTTTTACAGAATGATTTTCAGTAGAGATCAATGGGGCTCTACGGACAATATGTTGAAGCTCTCCCAAATTCTTTTCAGCAATGATATATATAAACAGAGCACACTTGATGTGAAGTTTTAATTTACAAGTACTAGGACAAACATAAACAAAGTTGTCACACCTTTTGTTGCAGAAACCGCAATTAAACCAACATTTACCATGTGGATATCTTGAAAGTTCAAGGCTGTGTTTGCGGTGAAAGGGATGATCCATCGTTAAAGGTGCCTTGGCGCATATCTCATCAAGGTGAAACCCGCATGCCACGCAGCTATACGTTGGAGCCGACACCACCTCCCCACACCCATTGCAATAAGCCTTCTCATCACTTTCATGGCTCCGCTCTTCCCTGAAAACCAGAGGATGATTATGGCTGAAATGTTCAATTTCCATTTCTCCTTTATTTCTATGTGAGTTTGAGGGTGAGATTGCTATAAATGTATTTGTGCAAGCGCAAGCTCATATATATACACTTCCCTGCCCAAGGAATCAAAACAAAAAATTGTTTATAGAAGTACCATTTTCACCCTTGTTTTTTATCTCTCTTTTCAAGGAACTGTCTAATTTTGGGTGGGAGATTTTACTCTCTTAATGGATTTAATCTTTAATCTTTATTACTTTCAACTTTGATGTAACCACTATTTCCCTTGGTGCCTCAATTAAAATAAACATTATTTTAATATTGAAAATTATACTATACACAAACATTAAAAAAAAATTTAATATTATAAGTAGATTTAAAGGATTATAACATTGACATAGAGTTATAATTTAAGTAAATTTATAAATTAGTATAATTATTAAATAAAGCACGTTAATTGTATAAATTAGTATAATCAATAACATGTTATATATATTTTTCATAGGAATCATCTTTTCACTATGTGTTTGAGAATATCACTCTTCCTTTATACCTTTCTTGCAATCAATAAAGAAAAAGCAAAGAATATGAAAGAAAATTTTCACTAAGAATAAAGTTAAAATACTCAAACTCCCTTCGAGGTTATGCCATACTTTTTGGTATACACATAATAAATTATCCGATTTTAAATATAAAAATTAAGATTATTATTCTAAATGAAATCTTCTAATCGTCCATTTGAATTTAACTAAATTGCACACTAAATTATGCTTTTGAATACTTTTGTTCTCTATTCCTTTGTTGCTCCTTTTAATTCTCTCGAAATGGTACCAATTGATCTCTCTCTTTTCTTTATCTGATCAACCTACAGTCTCGTGGGATTAATCCTACTTTCGAACAGGAATTGGGAAGTAGTTGAAGAAACCAAAGAAGATTTCATTAGTGGTTTTCTCTAATGACACCTTTTTGTCTCAGAATTTCCTTGCTTCCCTTTAGAACCGCTGTCAAAACCAGTTTGGTTTGTGACTCAATAAAAGATGCTGTAATTACTATTTTAAGGTTAGAAAGCATTACTCTCAATTTTCAATATCAAAGTCCAAAGGAGAGTATTCAAATCAAGATTTTATAATTTCTTGATTTAATTACCACTTGATTAGCACCTGTATATTTAGTTTAATAATAAGTACATATTTCTCACTTAAAAGAGTCAAGATTAAATATATATTTTTTCAATTTAAAAAAGAAATTATTCAATTATGCTATGAATTGGACAATGGCCTATAGCTCTCCATGATAAACCAAATTCATTGTTCTTGTTTCCACGCCCATACTAATCCTATTGTCATGGGAGTCTTTGACCTATTAGATGAGAGACTTGAAATGACATATGAGTATTGAGGTTGAATAAATTCACCTTTATAAAAAAAAAAAAAACCGAACTCATTGATCCAAGAAATTGAAACTCAATAAAAGTGAGCCCTCACTACCAGATTTAGTATACATTCATCAGACCTATACTACTAGGTTTAGTATATGAGGGTTTTTTCGGTTCTTTGGAAAATGTTTTACGGTCTTTCAAGGTTGTCAAACATTTTACGTGGTCAATGGATATTTTTCTTGTTGACCCGTGAAATGTTTTACGTTTATAATAAATATTTCGTTTTTCAAAAAGTCTAAGTCCTGAAAATATTTTTCAAAAAATACTTTATGTCAAAACAAACGGATCCTAAATTACGTTACTAAATTATGCTTTACCTCTTTTTTATTTTGGTTTTTTCTATTTGGTCATTCTTTATTCCTTTCTTGCTCTTTTATTTCTTGAAATGTGATCCATTTTTCTTTCTCTTTTTTTTTTAGATGAACAATAAATAACTTGTTATAAATTCTTTATAACATAAGAATCATCTTTTTCACTACATGTACTTAAGAATTTGATTCTTTTTTTATACCTATCTTGTGATCAGTAAAGAAAAAGTACAGAATATGAGAGAAAATTTTCATAAAATATTTTTTACTTTTACTTTTCAGGATAAAGTTAAAATGTTCAAACTTTCTCCCCTATGAGGTCATGCCATTTCTTTTGGTATACATATAATAAATTATCCAAGGTTAAATATAAAAATTAAATTGATTATTGTAATCATAGTTGTCTAATCTTTCACTTGAGTTAAACTAAATTACGGAATAGATTACGCTTTATTTTTTTCTTTTGCTTTTTCTGTTTGGCCCTTCTTTATTCCTTTCTTGCTCCTTCTATTTCTCTAGAAATGGTACCAATATATCTCTTTCTCTTTTTTTATCTGATCCACTTCAAGTCTTGTGGGATTAATCCAACTTTCTAACAGGAATTGGGAAGTAGTTGCAGAAATCAAAGAAATTCCGCTAGTCTTTTATCTAATGATACCCTTTTGTCTGATAATGCCTTGCTCCCCTTTAGAATTGCTGTCCAAACCAATTTGCTTTTTAACTCAATACAAGATGCTGTAATTACTATTTTGAGGTTCTATAACATTACTCTCGATTGTCAATATCAACTCCAAAGGAGAGTATTCAAATCAAGATTTTATAATTTCTTAATTAGCATTTAAATATTTAATTTAATGATAAATATATATTTTTTATTTAAACAGTCAAGATTAAATATTTTTTAATTTAAAAATGAAATTACTCAATTATGCTATGAATTGGGCAAGGACCTATAGAGTCTCCATGATAAACCAAATTCATGGGTGCAGGAAATTGAAGCTCAATAAACTGAGCCCTCACTACCAAAGTGGATCTTACCGATACTATATCTAAAGTTTGCCCAAAACTATTAAATCTCTCAAATCTTTTAGCAGTCAAAAGGAGATGGATTTATCATTTATGGCATTATTATTTAATTTTGTATGGTATAATATACAGAGAAGTTTCTAAACTATTCAGTAAAATTTAAATAAGTACTTGTACTTTTATTACATTCAATTAAGTTTTTATATTTTTATTTTGAGTTAAATAAGTCTTTATACTTTTATTTTGAAATAAAAAAGCCCTTATGACTAATGATTGACTTAATCAAAATGTCATTTGTTATTTTATATCTCGTGACTCTAATGTGATATACAAAAATATTATAATTAATGATAATGTGACATTCTAACATATCAAATTTCACATTTTCTATGCATGTTTATGTCAGGTTTAGGAATAATATACAAATTCATCATTCTCTTAATGGATGCATTATTAATATTCCCTAAACGACCATGTCAAACATTAAGACAAAGAACAACATTATGAAGAGAAAAACTATTATTACTTTCATTACCATGACAAACAACATTCGATACATTTAACTTAAAAAGACCGTCGGATACTTATCCTTTATCGACAAAAGACTCATTTCTGCTAATTACAATTTTATTGGATTCAAACAATAATTTATAACCATATCTAATAAAAAGAGAGTCACTAATCAAATTCTTTCCTAATGTCGAGCACATGATGCACTTTATGAAGAGACAAGGTCTTCTAAAAAGTTAGTAATAAATCTATTCTTCCTTCTCCTTTCACTTGTGCAATTGAAAAATTAACCATGTTCATGTAATTTTCGTCGATGGCCTAATATTTTAAATATATAGATTGGTCAGCACAAACATGGATATTCGCACTAGTAACAATCCACCGATCGATAGACTCACACTAAATTGATCACAAGAATGTTTGAAACAAACCTTTCGTCATTCTTACTAGCTACAAAATTGACTTGTGAGACTAGTATCTTAGACGTCTTTTGGCCTTTACAAAGTTGACAAACTCTTACCAAATGCCCCAATTTTCCAAAAACAAAATGAAATCTCTTCTTTGTCTTTTTTAACACTTGATGGTTGCTTACAACAATTATCTTTTGAAAACTTTCTTTTTTTTCGAGTTTGAATTTTTTCCTTCCACAATGTTTAGTTTGTCCTCAAACTCATTGGATAGTTTATCCTTATCTCTCTGTTTTCTTCAATTTGAAGGGAGACATTTAAATTGTCCATAGTTAAAGTCTCATATTTGTGTTTTAGGGACAAAGCCAAAGATTTCCATTTTGGAGGAAGTTTTTCAAGCAAAGCACCCACATGACATTTTTCACACATTTCAATTTTCCTTTGATTCGATTCATGAATAAGAACTTGAAAAAGGTGTGCTTGTTCTATAATAGATTTACTATGAGTCATTTTGAAGTCCATATATTTTCCTATAATATAGTTGTCAAGAACTTCATCCTCTTTATCATTTTTGTTTTCTAATGCTTCCCACAATTCACTTGCAGTTTTTGTAGTGCAAAAGATATCATAAAAATTAGTAGACAAAGCAGACAAAATGCAACCATGACAAAGATAATCTTTCTCTAATTGTGTTTACGTGCTTGCGATCATAAGTTAGAACCAGAGTTTTAATTTGAAGGTTTACCAGGATTAGGATTTTCATTTGAAGAATCAACAAGATTGAAGTCGACAGAAAAAAGTCCTAAGGTTCCTACCCAATAACGCATTTGATTCTGCCATCTATGAAAGTTTTGCTTAGAGAATTTCTTTGGCTTTGCAAAAAATTGTTCTTTAATAGCAACCTTTTTTAAAAAAATGCAAAACCAATAATACTCTAAAATTATTGGAATTTATACTCAAAAAGAGAAAAAAGAACACACGAAAAAATAACATATACTTAACAGTTCACAACAAAAGAAATAAGAAAGAGTTTTAAATGTAAAAATCAGTTTGAGGCACATTATGGAAGGCATTGACTTCAAAGTAGATTTTTGTTGCTACCCCAATGCAAATACCAATCAATGACGTCTTACTCTCAACATGCAACAAACCACTCAAGGATATTCTAATGTGCACTCATATAAAAATCCAGCAAACTTATAAATCTCTAGATTGCTCTTGAAGGAATTTTATAATGAAGAAGAATGGAGTTTTTAGAAATATAGAATGTTTAGAATCAATTTTTCAAAAAAAGGGGTTGGGTATTTCTAGACAATGAACCATCACTAACGTGCCTTTCCATTCAGACACACCTATTCAAAAGTGAACAAATGTGTCTTTCTAAAGGTACATGCCTTTCCACAAACAAAAAGTCATACATTTCCAATAAGCGCATTAAATTTTAAATCATCAAAAATAAAATAAAAACTTAAAGACCAACAGTTATAAGGTTTTAGCTTGTAATGAGATTTACGAATTCCTCGCAATGTTTACAAGTTAATGTCCTTTTAACTAACAAGGGTAAAATTTGACAAAGATTTACTTTCAAAATCATAAATTAATTAATTAGTTGTCTACAAGAAACCCTTAATGTTTAGAAAATATTTTTGCCCAACATTAATTTTTAGAAATTTTTCTAAAATAAGCAATAATTAAAAATCTTCAATTGAATTGAGAAATGCCTTTTCAATGCAGTTAGAGCTATTTAATTTTCAGCTAAAGTGAATAAACCGCATATTAATGAGAGTCAATAACAAAACAAAAGCAAGCACCATAAAGAAGACGTTACATAATAACCTATATATAAGTGCTCAACTCAGAATCTCGGCTTAACCAACCCATCTGCACCGTCTAGGATGGGGATTTTTGGGTTTGCTTATTGTCCTGGAATGATCATTGCGAATACGGGACGTTTCTTTGAGCTTCTGTTTTTGTTTTAGGTAGCTGTTTCACCGGTAAGCCCTGCTTGTCTAAAGGGCGCTGTATTGCCAAATTTAGGTGATTGTCGTCTGGGGCTGCTCTTATGTTTTTTGGCGGCAATCTTTTGTAACTGTACAGATTTTTAAAGCCCTTAACATCTTTTTGTGTTATGGAAAGTCTCCCGCAGATCATTTGAGAAACTTGATGATGGCATGATGGTAATGTTGGCTAATAAAAACAAAATTTTTCAAAAAAACAACTATTCTTGCTTAATAAGGTTATAATGTTGTAGCTTGTAATGAGATCTACGAACTCTTTACAATGTTAACAAGTTAATGTCGCCTTAACTTTATCCCTTTCTTTCCTTTCCCTTTAATTTTATACAAATTCTCTTTCTCTTTTCTTTATCTATCTGATTTTCACTTTTGTTTTTTCTTGACATACAAGGAACAATGAGCAATGAGAACTTCTTTTTTCTTTTGGCTAATCCAAACCATTTTATTAATGTATCAAAAGGATACTCGAAATAGAGCATTGCCAGCTTTCCCACATCCAGAGAGACCCGATTAAATTGTGAGGTGATATGAATAGAAGTTTATATATGGATAACATGTTCAAAGCTATCCCAAATTTTCTGCAATCTCATGTGAAAATAAAGAACATTTAATTTGGTGTGGAGGTTGAATAAGCAACCTTGTCAAATATTTTGATTCACAAATTGCAACTCTTCGCATAAGACTGCATTTAAGTTGTGGGAGGAAAAGAGAGGAAGGAATAGAAAGAGTAGAAATTAAGGAGAAATGGAATTCCCCTCCTACTTTAGTAGGAGAGATCAAAGGAAAAGGGAAGGAAAATAGCTGGATTTTTATCTTTTCCTCAAATCCAATTTTTGAAGCATGAACAATTCTAGCAGCTCTTAACATCTTGTAAAGTATGTGTTAGAGTCACTATAAAACAAGAAGATATCTATTTAAATTTCAAGTGATCATAGCAAACAGATAAATTGCTTTAGCCAAACAACAGAGAATCATAAAAGATACAAGAAAATGTTCACTTATATAAACATGATTACAAATTATTTTCAATTTCATAGAAAAGAGATCTTAAAAGATCAGAGGGTTAAGATCATGAAGTGACTTTATTCAAACATTTTGGAAAGTATCAAATGATAAAGAAGTATGAAAAGAAATCGCATTTTGGTTGCCATCATCAGTAAACTCTGATGTCTATCAGCTCAACAAAACCACAAATTTCAAGGAAATCCCTCGACTTGGGTTTCATGGCATATCTTGCAAGGGAGACGATCACTATTAAACTGTAACAAAAGAGAATGTTGGCGGTGGCAAAGGTGATTGATTTCAAGGGATACCTCAAAGCATTTCCTATGCAGACAAAATCCTCAATCAAGAAAAAAGTATGCAGAATCTGATAATGGTGTCCAACATACAAAGCAATGGGCGTATTTGAGTTTTACAGAATGATTTTCAGTAGAGATCAATGGGTATGTATGGGCAATATGTTGAAGCTCTCCAATGTTATATGAAAACAGAGCACACTTGATGTGAAGGTCTAGATGATAAGAACAATGATAAATAAATTTTTCACACCTTTTTCCACAGAAATAGCAATTACACCAATTTCCAATGAGTAGGAGGTTGGAAGTGCTTGAATAATACAAATATGTCTACAAATGATATGAGTGAAAGCAAAAAAAAAAATTGAAGTTCAAAGATAGCTTAAAAACTAAGTGGATGAATGTGAATATAGTAATCAATATAGTAATAATAAGTTGAGTTTGAATATAAAGCTGCATTAGTGCCAATTTCTCTAATTTAAGGATTTTCAAAAAGCAAAACTAAGATTGATTCACAACTATTCCATTCTCTATGGACTATGGCGTATACAATGTCAATTAATGATCAAAAACAACAAAACAAATTAACATGTTATGTACCCAAGCTTTATCATAGCTGGACACATTAGCATCTATCTCAAATTAAAATTCAAAATACATAATATGTATACATTTTGATATTAATAAAAATGGCTAATTTCAGTATTCACGCTAATGAAATTTTATATCTATTAATCCTCTATATATATGAGAAATTTTCACTAAAAATAAAAGGTGAGAGCATTTTTTTTTTACTGTTCAAAAGTAACATTATGTTATCCAATTCTTTTGGTATTTATAAACTTTTGAAATAAGGAAGAATAAGTAGCCATATCTATTGCTTTTGGAAAAAGATATATAAAATTTCACTACAATTGCCTTAACTAAGATTTATTTTCAAAATCTTGGATTAATTAATTAATTATCTACTGGAAACCATTGATTTTTAGATTCTTTTTGCTCAAAATTATTTTTCAAAAATTTATCTGAAATAAGCAATAATTAAAGATCTTCAATTAAATTGAGAAATGTCTTTGCAATGCAATTAGAGCTATTTAATTTCTAACTAAAGTAAATAAACCACATATTAATAAGATTTAACAACAGAATAATTCAACAATAGAATAAGGGTGAACACACGATAAAGAATACATTACAGAATAGATAAGTTCTTAACTCGCAAAATCTCGACTTAACCAACCCATCTGCACAAGAATTCTAAGATTTACAAGGTTTTTATTTAAGATATTTGTTTAATAAGGTTATAAGGTTGTAGCTTGTAATGTGATTTGCAAATTCTTTGCAATGTTTACAGGTTAATGTCCCTTTAACTAACAAGGGTAAAATGATAAACCAAATCTATACAGTAGTCGCGGTTGTTAAATCAATAAGTCACGTGCTAATCACGTGTCCTGTTATACAATTTCTTCACAGCCCGAGTATATGGATATAAAGATCAAACTGGCTGTTGTTTAATGTTCTTCGTTTCTGGGTATTATCGGGCAATGCTGCTCCCTGGAGTCCAGCTTCCATCTTCTCTTCTCCAACATTCTTTCCATAACATGTACAAGGAACAAATTACTTGCAGATGCTTATAGGTTAGAACACTTTTGGATTTTACTATTGATGAATCCAACCGTTTTTAAACTTAAAAGGAAATTTTACTATTGATTACTTAGAGCCATCTCCACCACCAAATGGAACTAATTTTTTTTGCAAAGATTTGATCATGAAACTTATGTGCAAAATGCAACAGGGAATATAATTATAGTCTAGCTAGGTAGTCGGTTCAGGAAAATTAGGAGAAAGAAAAGAAAATTTATGCAATAGTTTTGAAGCAGGTAAATTGTAACAGCTCCTAACATCTTGTAAAGTATGTGCTAGAGTCACCATAAAATAACAAGATATCTATTCAAATTTCAAGTGATCAATTACTTTAGCCAAACAACAGAGACTCATAAAAGATACAAGAAAATGTTCACTTTATACAAATATGAGCACAAATTATTTTCAGTTTCAAAGAAAAAAAATCTTAAAAGATCACATGGTTAAGATTACAGAGTAATTTTATTCAAACATTTTGGAAATTATCAAATCATAAAGAAGTATGACTAGTTTAAAACACCCCACTAAAGAAATCATCAGTACCTTTGATGCCTATGAGATAAACAATACTATGATCTTCAATGAAGTCTTTGAGGCGGCTACATCTCCAATGGATAATAAAGCTGCATCTTCTCTCTGCACACTCAAGAGCCAGATCTAAGCAGAGCTGACCACATTTAGAACATTCAGGGTAAAGATAAACCTTTTGCACGGGAATGAGTGAGTGTGAATGATCAGTCTTTGAAGAGATCCTTATCCCGAGCTTGATAAACGGGTAATCTCCAAGAACACATTTGGGATGAGCTGACTTGTCACAAAGTGCACAATGATAAAACCAAATGTTGGGATTTCTTCTTTCTTCACAAATGTCACAAGAATGATATTCTGAATAATCATTAACTTCACGGTACGTGAGTTTGAGAGAATGTTCATCACATTTGTGTCGAGCTATTTGTGGCAGCAGAGTACATGTCCAATGCACATTAAAATTGCAACTCTTGCATCTGTATGCTTCCCCATTATCAATACTGTTACCACAAGCATTGCACGGCCCATTATACTTGTTGTAAAAGAGAAGGAGGTGCTCCTTGTGTGCTTGACTTGTGTAGCTCAAAGAACGTTCAGTACACTGAACGCACCAGCAACTTCCGTTGAAGTTGTAGGCAAAACCAGTATGCAGGGAATCACAAGCGAGACATTTGAAAAAGCGATTTGGAATAAGGTCGAAGGGAAGAGGCGAAAACCAAACTTGGCTTTTCGTGGGTAACTCAGCACATGATTTGTGGAGATGGAAATCACATTTTGAACAATGATAAAAAGAAGTCTCGATGAGTAAACTGCAACAGTCACAGCATTTGACATCCCTTACTTCATCATATAACACTAAATTGTGTTCATGGCTGAAATGTTTTATCTCTCTATTTATCACATTTTCATCAAGTTTGTTCTCTTGAATAACTAGAAAGGTTGGATCCACCAACGTTGCATTTTCATTAAACTTCTCATAAGCATCCTTTGATGCAATTTCGTAATACCATGATTTATCCTCTAGGACACATTTCACATGGACAATAAACTTACACGCAGAACAACAGTATTTCCCATGCTCTTTGTTCACCTCCTCATGACAAATTCCACATTCCAATATTCCACACTCATTTTTTACTGCAAAATAGTTGTGGAAAATAGGATGGTGATGCCATAAGCTTTTGATGATGCGCGATAATGAAATGCAATCCTTGTGGACTGTAGCGCCACATGTTGAGCAAATATAAGGAGCATAATCTCCTGACGTGCCACATGCACCACAAATGAATGAAAATCGTCTTAAACACCTAGTGAATGAGTGTTCATGACTACTATCTTCAATAAAAGGTGATGGTGACACACATTCAATGTGAAGGGCAACCTTGCACATTGAACAACAGTAAACAAATCCCTTGACTTGGGTTCCTTGGCATATCTTGCAAGAGAGACAATCGGTATTAAACTGTAAAAAAAGAGAATGTTGATGGTGGCAAAGGTGATTGATTTCAAAGGGTAGCTCAACACATTTCTTATGTAGGCAAAATCCACAATCAAGAGAAAAGCATGGAGAATCTAATAATGGTGTCCAACATACAAAGCAATAGGCGTATTTGAGTTTGACAGAATGATTTTCAGTAGAGATCAAAGGGTCTTTATGGGCAATGTGTTGAAGCTCTCCAATATTTTTTTTAGCAATGTTATATGAAAACAGAGCGCACTTGATGTCAAGGTTTAAATTACAAGGAACGCACCAATAAATAAAGTTGTGACACTTTTTGTTGCAGAAATCGCAATTAAACCAAAAGTTACCATGTGGCGATATAAGATGAAGGCTGTGGTTGAGATGAATGGGGTGATTCATTTGTGAAGGTGCCTCAGCGCAGTTCTTGTCAAGGTGAAACCCGCATGCCACGCAGCTATACGTTGGACCCGACGCCACCTCCCCACACCCATTGCAA